TATCATTTAAGAACCCCTCACCTATCTGGGGGGGGGGGGGGTTGAGAAAATATAAACACGCCTTAATAGATTTATTATCTAGAAACAAAATCAGGTCTCAAACATAAAGACACTTCTACCCCCCTCTCTCATTGATAATGTTTAAAAATTGCAATAATTATATTCACATTTGCAAAATGATACCTTCTCTAAGAGAAAAATGCAGGCGTTAGGACCAGCATCAAATGTGTAGGCAGCTACAAGATTGTGTGAACTTGAATTGATCTGATGAACAAGAGAACTAACTGCATGAGAGGCTTGGTTCAGGTAAACGCAAGGTGGGTAGGTGTCCTGACACACTGCATGAAACTGATTACTGTCCTTCATTGTCAATTCGGCAAACACCGGAAAGTTCTTGTCCTTAAAGTACGTCATCAAATTAATAAGTTCAAACATTTTTGTTAAAAATCTTAAGAGTCTTCATGTTAATCCTGGGTTAATCAATAATCAATAATCATAATCAATATATATTTTAGGACAACTTTGATTTTTAGATTAACTGTTCCTAAACAAGCATTTGCTGTTGTAAAAAAACAAGGGGGTGGGGTTAGATTTACTAATCTTATTCTAGAGAGGAAAATAACCTTGACCCGACATATATGTTTCCTTCTTGGTAATGTCAGCTTGTTTTTTTTCCAAACCTGTATAGCCTGAATCATCTCCCGTGTACGCTTGGGGACACAATGTTCTGCTCGAAATTTGAGAAGAGGACTTGTCTCGACACTATTCTTCATCCCAACAGAACTGCTGGTTTTTTTACGAGAGTCGCTTGCAACGCAGATAAGAACTCTAGAATTAATAATAACTTAACAATGAATCAGATTTTATTGTATATTTAACTATATTATTGAAATTTCTCTGGGTCTAATTGTAGAACACTAACCTAAGCTCCGGCCAGTGAGAAGATGGAGCAAGCTGTACTGCAATACTATCCCTTCCATCCTCCCTAACTCCCATTTGCCAATGAACAAATCCACCATAAACAGATCTGCATGCCGACCCGGATCCACGCCTGCAATTTTTATTATCCTTTTGTAAATAACGTTAAATAATAGGTTTTATCGTGCTTTTTAAGAATTTTAAAAATGTCAGAGGCCAAAAAAACTTGTGTGCACACTGCAGACAACAACGATCATCCTGTATCAATATTAAGTTTATTTCTTCATTGTGTAAAAACAATCCAAAGGTATACGAGAATGAGATAATTTCTGTTAATTAAGAACTCTTAAGATTATGGAATTCGATTATTTATATTGGGTTTAAATAGGTTGTTTCTAGTTTCCATATTTTAGCTAATACTCTTTGAATCTAATCATTGTAGGATTATATACTGTAATACTGTATGTTATTACTTCCCCAAAGAGAAGAAAGGCATAAAAAGTAGAATTTTCTTGCCTATTCAATTAGTTTCAGATTTTACTTACCCACATGGCAATTAACCCTATCCCCGCTGGGGTACTTGAAAACCAGGATACGCGGGGGGGGGTCAATTTGACCCCCCCTTCAGGTCACAATGTTTGGGTTAATTATTAAAATCCATTAACCAACCCCCCCCCCCAGCGGGAATAGGGTTAACGGATTCTAGTTTTACTACATTTAAAATAAACTTTAAAAGAATAAAAATGATTTAATGAAAAACCCCCCTTTCTTTGCCACCTCAATTCGATCTTTTTATACGAATTAGGATCTAAGTAAGTTAGGGAAGATAAATTGACTTTCCGTATGCCTAAGGGCGCCCTGCGTTCTATATCTAAAAAAGCTCATTAAGCTTTTTGAATATTTGTTCTGCGCGCTTCTTTAGAAAATGATTCTTAGGAAGAACAACCTTTTATCTGTTGGATTTCCATATCTTTTTTATCTTGTTTAGGTGCAAGACTCGATGAATTAGGTAAAAAAATATTTTTACGTCCAAAATTGACCAATTAGTTATTGTTGATTTTCCAAAAAATCAAATCTTATAAAGAATATAAACACCTGAATCTCGGGCTTGCGTTGAGTATTATTCACGAAGTCCTTAGTGACAATCATAAAAAAGGACCAAATGACAAATGTTCTCATACCTTGCAAGGACAGAGGTATCTCCAGTAATATTGTAAAGCTTGCAGAGTGCAGTAACCAAGCAGGCATATCCAGCAGCAGAACTTGCTAATCCTAAAGATTCAAGTATTAAAAGCGAAACAATTTCGAAATTTAGATAACTCCTTATCTCTGTCCTACCTGCTCCACAACTCGATGTCAGAAGAACTATCTTGAGAGGCTTTAAAGTGTAGAAACAAGAAACATGAAGCAAGAAGAAAAAAGAAAATTGTATAAATTGTTAATATGGGAAAAAATGAAACTTCAATATGCAAGCTTGTCGAGGGAGGGCACCCCTGGACGCCATGAGCCTCTGCTGTGCAGGTACGAGCCCCCTAGATTTGCTAGGCAGACGGAGTCTCCGCCATGCAGTAAGAGCCTCGGCTATACAGCACAGCTTCTTATAATTCTTGGTTTTTATATGTAAAGATTTTTTTTTTCATTTTTTTTCAAAAGTGGTATAAAATGTTATCAAAGATCAGAAGTATTAATCAATTATTATAAACAGTGACAAATTATGACTATTGAAATGGTTTATAAAACTTGCAATATTTTCTATGCAAAAAAGAAAACATTTAGAGAATAAATTCTGTAAGTAATTTTATATTTTAAATCTTTGATTTAAGCGATACCTTTTTTTGAAATTTTTATACGATTAAGAAAAATAAAATTTGAAGTTGACAAATTGTCTGAATCTAAATAAATTTCCCAAAAAAGTGTATTGCATAAAGATTAAAAAAAAACTTGTTCTTAAATACTCAATTAAAAACAGCAAAACAAAAAATTTATAAAGTAGCTCGGTCGCCCAATATATTTTCAGATAAGATAACATTAGATGCTTAAATATTCAATGAAAGATAACGAAGAACGAGAGATAAAACTTTTTCAGAAATCATCAAAAATTATGCATGTGGGCATAAATGCATAACGCTAAAATGCTAAATAAACTAAGTTCAATTAAAAAATGAATTTCCAAATAACCTCCTTACCGCGTAAGAAATGTTTTTTTGTAAAACATAAATCTTATGCGTCAAAATAAGTTACAAATCATAAAAATCAATTTATTAACATAAATCTTGAGTAAAATTCTTATGTCACTATGTTGAAAAAAATAAAAGAAATCTATTTTACATGTTAAAACCAACAGTGTTGAATCTATATCTAGATTCTTTAGGTTTTCATGTGCTGGTTCAGCTGGTATCCAACCGTCCCTATGCCTTCACATCACTACAAGGACACAATGCAGCAAAGGAGGAATCCTGAGATGAAGTTAAATAAACCTCGTTTATAATTATATTAAAACACACATATATAAAGGCCTATTTATTCTCATTTAATTGTATTAAAAGAAATCTGTATGTGTCTCTTTAGATGTTGAGATTGAGTCAAAACATGTTCACATTCTTCTCAAGGAACTTTTTTAAAATAAAGATAATTAATCAAAAGTAAAAAGAAACCAATGTTCAAAGTAAAATAGAATGTAATTATGTATTTGTATTATCCTGTGCCACACCTAAACCGTGTTTTTAAAGCCTGAAACCTTTTATTAATCAAGTTTTTATTCCAGAACTTTTACTATTTTATAATGTGAGTTTATAAGAAGTGACGAGGTTCTCATCAAATAATACAAGGTGTGAATAACAAACTTTTATATCAAAGTACTACTGGTGTTTACAATCTCTGTTATACAGGCCAAGGTTGAGTTGTACATGGAGAGCATCATGGAGAAGTGCGTGGCATGAGACGAGATGATGTTTTCTGGTTCTGAGTGTTTTTCTCAACCCAGTGTTCTAACTTTCCTGTCTACCCTGTAAACTAACGTAAGCTCATTTATACTTCCGAAATTTCCTTGGAATTGCAACCCTAATATTTAGACTCAGTGTGGTGATTTAAACTTGGAGTACCCGGAGTCTGTATCTAGTCAAGAAAACCTACCTGGAGTATGTCGGAGAAGGTGTCTGTCAATCAATCTGTCCCAAGTAAGCCCAAAATCAATATTTGCTCCGTTAGAAAGGTTCACTTGTAAATACAGGGAATTGTTTAGGCTGAAATCTGAAGACGTTGTTCTCTTCTAAGCCTGGGATTAACAGTAGATGCTATTCGGACCTGTAGTGAACCTGGAGATGTTGATGTGTAATTGCACCCCGCGACTGTGAGCTCTGGAACCACATCTATTCTAGACCTGATTGCTGATGAAGACGTTTGAGGCGTCTATAAAGCATCACCATTTATAAAGTAAGAGATTGATAATTGATGAAACCTTTCCCTAAAAGTGAACTACATTCTAAGTATGGAATATTTAGATTTGCTTTATCGAGACGTGGCTCTCATTTTTCCATCTGCTCTGGAGAAAGGATTGGAACCGGTAGTCGGAGACGTGGATCTTTGCGACCTGTATTCCTTGATCTTATATCCCTGAGAAGGAACCCTGAGACGTGGAGCTCAGCAGTGAAACCTGAACAAGATAGCTCTTACTCTTTTCCTGAAGAGAGGATGGATGTGCTAGCGGCACTGAACCAATCCATCAATTAAACCAAAGTAAGAGTTTGTTTGATTCCTAAAATTTTATTGGTCTGACTAAGAATTTACGGGGACTACAGGGTATTTGTGCAGGAACCTTGCCTGTACCGGTTCTGTTGGTTGGAGAGGATTTGCTCAATCTGAAGCTCAAGACTGTGCTGGTTTGAGAGATAAAACTTTGAAAGACTATGAAGTGAAAACCAACTGATGCACCAAATGTAAGTTTAATGTATTACTCTGAAAATATTTTGTTTATTTTATTTCTTGACGAGCAAATTCAAAATGTAAAGGGTGGCACAGATTTATAAATGTAAATGTGTAGTACGAGTTATACGGTTGGTTAAATAATAACTTTTATTCTTTATTTCAGTTTCCACCGTATGATTACTGCAGCATAAGAGACAATAAGAAATATGGCTCAAATTGTGAATAATTGCAGAGATAAACGAGTGAGAATGGGCACAGTTAACCAGCGCTCCGCATTAGCGCGTGAAGTCTCCCTGGTTTTGCACCACTAACCAGGCAAGAATGCACAAACAGTTATAAGGAAGTTAGTGCTGTATAGCGTAAGCTCTTACTCCTTGGCGGAGGCTTGGTCTGCCTAGCAAATCTGGGAGGCTCGTGTCTGCATGGCGGAGGCTCATGGCGTCCGTGGGTTCCCTCCTTCGCTTGTCTATTGTTCAGTATAACAGTTTACTGTTGACGTATCCCTCCCAAAAAAATCTTACCCTCACACAAATTAATCACATTATCAGAAGCTAAATTTCTAAGATAAAAAAATACTTCATCCCACAGAGGACAAGGGCGTGAGAAACTATTTTTCAGGATACTCATAAACTAAACATTATAACAACATCCTTAGTGAACGTAGATTTTTAACCTGCAGCTGTAGGAAAATTGTTCTCAGAGCAAACATGAACCTTCCACTCAGGATTCACAGGGGGGTTTGCAATCATACGTGCATTTGCTCTAACTTCCTCAAGGCACAGAGAAAGTCGACCAGACTTGATCTGAGAAAATACGTTGAAAAAGGTCATTAAAAAAAATTGGCGCGTTTGCAATCATATGTGCATTTGATCTAACTTCCTCAAGGCATAGAGAAAGTCGACCAGACTTGATCTGAGAAAATATGTTGAAAAAGGTCATTAAAACAAAATTGGCGCTTCCTAGAATCAAAGTATTTCGAATTTGATTCTTAAAGAAAACACTTAAAGGACAACAAATCAAATAATATTGAATGCAAAATGAATTAGATTTATTACCTGGAGTTCACGATTTAACCAGATTTTGTCCTCGGTAAAGCTTGGAGAAGCCGTAACGGTCGTCTTTGCGTTCATTTGATTCGAACTCAGAGTTACACTAAACCAAACATTTAATATTAGAGTTTATTCTTTTTTCATCGTTGAAAACTTTGAGCGAAAAAAATAGGACTTTTGAATAATTACGCTCATGGTCGACGGCTTTGGATGTTAGTTTTGAGATAATAAAAAGACAAAATATTTAAATAATTTAGTTTCCTAATTGAATCATTAACCGGGAGAATCAGAGTTTCATTTCTTTTCCCCCAATACTTAATCACAGCAATGTTCACTGGAGCTGTACAAGTCACCAGTTTCAAAACTTCTTCTGAACTCATTTTTCTTATCTGAAACATTATCAAACTAAAAAATAAGCCCTAAACCAAAACGGTTTGAAACATTTAGGCTACAGTCAGAAGTCTTGTAAAAAAAAACTTAAAGCAGAGCGTCTTTCAATTATGTTGCTTGGTTTTGAATAGCGCGTTTAATTTGCGCGTCTTCTTGTAGATCTGAGGACCGGACATTATTGTTAGAGCACCCTACCACAGGACACTTGACCTTGCCTGATTACGGGGATCAACAAATAATTAAGTATACGGTTGATAAAATAATAATTAAAAAACTTGAAGATATAAAGCTCGTCTAAATATTTTCCTTGAAACTACCGCCCCTTTCCCGAAAACTAAGATAAATGTTTGATATTAGGATAAACTGAATCGTAAATATCACTTGGACCTTTTTAGTGGTCATTTAAAAAAACGTTGACCACCCCGTTATATTAAAGTAGCTTATTTAACTCAGAGTTTACATATATTGTTGTTCCGCTAATTTCCTTTAGTTCTTGAACACATTTTCAAAGCCGTAGCTTTATCGTAAATATGTGAGCACACTTTATTCCGAACAGGGATCTCTATATTCTTCTTGGACCAGGGATCAATATATGCATTTGTCTCTCCAACAATATCCTCATCTTCTAAACTACCAGTCTTGGCTAAACAAATAAAATAATATCTACGAGAAATTATCTACTAACAAAAAAATCCAAGATCAACTTGCAGTTGCTTACACAGGTGGTTCTAAGATTAAAGATGGATTGAAATCTTTTGCAAGTGCAATTTACAACCAAAAAAGGTATAGATTCCAAGCCCCAACCCTTTCCCTCTACGCCAGAGGTGTATATTTTTAAGAGGGGTGGGGATATGTTTTAGATGATTTGGAGAGAAGATAAAAAAAATGACATGGAAAGGCAAATTTTTTCAGCTAAAAATTCATTTATTTACCACTAAAAAACATTTATTTTCCCCAATCAGCGAAAAAAAAATCTGAAAAATGTTTGCGACTTCGCGAAAGCGGAAGATTACATAACATCTAGGAAAAAAAGAAAAAAAAATCAAAAGGGGGAAATACTTTTACGAGAAAATATACATCCCTGCTCTGTAAAAAAAATAGTACAAAACCAAGCAAGATCCAAAAATGTTCTCTTCATATTTTAAAAACCGATTTTAAGAAGCCAGAAGTACCCCCTCTTCCTATTAGCGCCACAAATTTCCCCCAATTTACTGAGCCCCACTCTCAAACACACCGTATTGCAAAGAAGAAACAACTAAGCATTAAAGCAAACCACAAGGTATCAATTGAAACCTTGGAGCTAATTTAAGGTGGCGGTCTGGGTTCTCCAAAATGGGGGGGGCTTTCAGATCTTTCTCCTGACACTCCCCATTCATTGTTTACCTGAAATGATCTGTTCCATCTCCATATATCTAGAATGCTTCCTAATAACGTTCATACTGAGCTTCTCTTCATTCAACTCTTCAGCCAGTTTATTCTAACCGACAAATATTAGTCATTACTTCTTTAACCAGCTGTTTACTGTTGTTCTGACCACTCAGTCAGAGGTACGATATTACTTCAATACAAAATTAAACTGTAAAAGAAAACAATATTGGAAATATAAAGATAAAATATGAAAGATTAAAAAATCCATCCCTTTCCTCTATTCCCGATCCAAATTGATAAAGAAAAGTTATGTTTCCAGGGTATCCTCAATGCATACATGGATCCAGATTCAAAAAAACAAATTAAGAGGTTTTACCTCAAATTCTTTAACCATATCAGTGTCCATAGTTCCCTCTTTTGTATCCAGGTGCACTTGTAGTCTAAAAGATTTTTGAGATTTGGGGAAAACATATTTTTAAAAATATAATAGAATTATAAACCCGCAATAAATTGTAGTTTTAGAACGTTGGGACTATTCAAAAATCTTGAGATCCGTCTCAGAGGCAATTTTTTTGCCCGACCTTGGATGCCTTTATCAGCCGATTTTTATTATATCACACTGATTTCAATTTTATTTGTTACTGGTTAAGAAGATGAAGAAATTTTAGGAAAAAAGGCTCTTTTTTATTAGTCCCAAAATTATTTTATGTTATGTCACAACAAAATAGTTTTCATTATATTTTTTAAAAAATGCATCTGGCCAAACAAACTTGGTATGATTTTCATTCACAAATTGTGTTACTGTTAGGATTTCAACCTGTTTTTATTGGAACCTGAGTTTGAGTAGTTAAAATGTTGAAGAGAGAAGTTCTTTTACCGTTTAAGAATGTCTCTGCCAGTTTTATACTCGATCTCCATCTTTATATAGTCGATTACCAACTTCTTCTGCATCTCCAGGTAATCATTCTGAACAGTGCTTCTTTTCTGTTTTTTTTAGTGGGTAAAATACGCTACGATTGAAGAATAAAACCATTCGGTGGGGCACAGAGTTTTAAATAACGAAATTCAAAAATAGCATTTTACAACAAAAAAAAAATTGTCACACTTTGCTGAAACAACAGTTAGGTTGAACAAATTATCCCAATGTATTGATTGTCCTCAAAATATCAAAATAAAAAAATAAACAATTTGAGATAAGTTCAATATTTGATTGAAATTCAGATTAAACGATTTTTTTTCTCTTCTTTCAAATTGTTCTTAAGAAAATATTTCATATACATAAAAATACAATATGTAAATAAAATTTTGAATTAGATACATGTTAAACATTTGGATAATTGGTCATTTTACTAGTCGTATTACAATAACACAAAAAGCAGAAAAAGTAAAACCTTTTATTAATTGATTAGATCTGTTATTGATTGCAATTCCGTAATCCACCTTTATGTGGTTATCAATGCAGTCTTTTAGTAACTCTATGATTAAAAATCAGACGCAAAAAGATATTTTTGAGGCCTGTACTTTACTTTTCTGTATATAGCCTGTTCTGCATTACCTTAAGATCATTAAAATTCGTCAAATATGATTTTAAATCTTTTGACCCCCCCCCCGCAAAAAAAAAATATTTTTCAAAACGGTCCATGACAACTTTATCATTTATTGGTGATATCAAATAAAACATGATGGGCTAGTTCAGGTCACAATGTTTGGGTTAATTATTAAAATCAATTAATCAAACGTTAAACTTTGTGAGTTTTTGCTTTTTTTGTTTTTACATTAGAACTACTTATCAGAACTGCGTACTTGCTAGAACTAGTAAAAGAAGATGAAAATATAATGTATATCTTCACTTTTGCCTAAACTTGATTTACCTTCTCAGTTCCATCCAGGTGATCAAGCACCGCCTATGAAATATAAATACTTTTCAACAGTGCTTAGGATCCATTTAATTTTGATGCGGATCCGGATCCTGAAAAAAGAGGATCCAGTGCGAATTCAGGATTCAGGTCATTTGGGTTTTGAGAGTGAACTTTTTTATTGTAGTATTTGGTTTATATTTTGCCCCTTGGATCTGCAGATTTTTGCGGATCCTAATCTAGGAAGCCAAAATCTTATTGATTTAGCGGATCCGGATCCTAAGCACTGCTTTTCAATCAATATGACGAAGATTACAGACGAATGACGAAAGTTCTTTTTCTTGTATATAAACCAGAGCGTCATAATGTATGTGTGTATGAAATCTTGAGACAAATGTTGACATAGGATACCAGGTATATTAGTTATATTATTGGCGCAGTAGGTCTTTTTCTGCCAAGTGTTAGAATGATTTATAAAAAAAAATGTTAAACCCATGGCACAGCCAACAAAATGTATCACTTTACTTATGCTTATACTGCAAGAGAATGTATATTTTTCTGTATATCATAATTTATCTCCTATATATTTTCAACCCTCCAAATGCAGTACTTTATATGTGTAGGTATGCACAAACAAACCTTACCAAAGTTCACAATTACACAGAGAGTATATTTTCATGCCTCTACTAAATGTACTTTCAACCCCGATACCATTTGGGATCAGAAACGGAATTTTATGGACCCTGCGTGGGAGTTAAAGGATGTTCCAAGGATTTTAAAAATAAACGTTTTACATTTGATTAGACACCAGATGTAATTACAGATTAAGCCAGAGATACCAAGATTGCGGAAAAAATCGAATTGATCCAGAAATTGTATTTTTGTTTTAAGTTAGGTTAAAACATGAGGCAGCAAAACTTACCGAAAAAACCTTTATCTGATAATGTAAATTGGATTAAAAATTCATAAAATTCCAGTGCTTGGGATTCCTTTAATTTTGATACAGATCCCGATCCGGGATCCGCACTGAAAATAAATGTATCCGGATCCAGGACATGAACATTTCTTTAAAATTTACTGATTTTCTGAACAAAAGAAGAATTTTCAATATATTTTTCTTCTTACTTAGCCCCTTTAAGTTCTTCATATGTTTCTTAACAAAAAATAAAGGCATTCAAATGTATTTAATTAACCATAGATTGTGTTTGTTATTAACATAACTCTCCAATTTGTGGAAAAATACCTAAAGCCTGAAACCTTTTATTAATCAAGTTTTTATTTCAGAACTTTTACTATTTNCCATAACCAATATCATATACTTCTAAGAATCATTAACCCCGAAGTTTTTGCCCCTTACTTTACTTACAAATCCACAATTTTCAAAACTTTAAAATCAAATCGAAAAACACGGTTCTCTTTTTCCATTCTTTTTACCTTAATACTTGTCAGAACAAAATCAATTCCTGTGTTAATATATTTCAGCTGACGCTCTTCTAATGCTGTCATTTTATCTACAAATAGATATAATATTTTCTTACTTCTATCTTCATAATGATGGAAATTATTGTTCTTAAAATCTAAATTTTTGCCCAAATTCAAAAAATTAATTAACACTCTGGTAAAAAAGGAGAAAAGCTTAAATCGTAGGAGGTAAAAAACTAAAAAAGGTAATCTCTGTGATATTTTACCCTAATTTTGCCACTGACTCTTTCCCTCCACATTAACTCAGTATAGAGTATTTTTTTAATTTTACTCAATTATGTGCAGTCTCACCGATCTCTAGGAGTATTAAACCTATGACAGAATAGTTTAAACTAATGTCATCATGACTAATAGATTTGTAGACTAAAACTGACTCCACCTTTGTTAAAAGAACAAGAACCAACCGTATTACTAAAGAATAGATAAACACTAAACAGTGTTTCAATTTCTTTATTATCTTGAATATTTGATTTCGTTATATATCCATGTTTCATTTAGATATTTAATTAAACTTGTGTTAATTAAATTTATTTATTATAAACCAATCGAACCTTACTTTAAAGGTAGCCGAAATGTCATATTCCATGAAACGCCAAAAGGTTATACAGTGCAGATCTTTAAAACTATACTTAAATACGCAATTACTTAACAAAATAATTTATTCAAAGATGATCTTGAATGTTAAATATGTATCGCCCGGCTCTCTAGCCTGTCCTAAGGCTCAGAAATTGTCTGAACTTAACCAACCCTGAATAATACATAATATTTCACTTCTGTGCATTTTTTATGAAGGGGGTGAAAGAGGATTCAATAATCGGTAATTTCCTAGAGAACGATTTTTACCCCCCCGCCCCCCCTCCAATCACTTTTGTACACGGATCTCAGATGTAACACATGAATGTAATTGGTTATGTGGCCGCAGCGCCCGGCCCTCTAGCCTGTCCTAGCCGCGGCGCTCGGCCCCCCAGCCAGCCCCAGCCTATTTATTAAAAAAAATCTTTCTCTAGGATTGAGCCACGTAATTTACCTTCTATGTAATTTACTTGAGAGAGATTTTTTTAAATGAAAGAGGATCTCAAAAGTAAGACATGTGGCCGCAGCGCTCGCCACCCTAGCCTGTCCTAGCAGCAGCGCTCGGCCCAGAGAGTGTCCTAACTTAACCTAACCCGTGGCCGCAGCGCTCGGCCCCCTAGCCTGTCCTGGCCGCAGCGCTCAACACAGAAAGTGTCTTAACCTAACCCTAAATAAAAAAGTGTCATAACTTAACTTAACCCGTGGCCGCAGCGCTCGGCCCCCTAGCCATTCCTAGCCGCAGCGCTCGGCCCAGAAAGTGTTTTAACTTAACCTAACCCTAAATAATAAAAAAGAAATAATAATTGTCTTAACTAACCTAACCCGTGGCCGCAGCGCACGGCCCCCTAGCCCATCCTAGCCGCAGCGCTCGGCCCAGAAAGTGTCTTAACCTAACCTAACCCTAAATAACAAAAAATAAATAGTAATAAATTTGCTGAAAAATAAATGGGCATGTAGAAAATTGATAGGAGGGGGGAGGGGGTCCAAAAATCGTTCACTAGGACAGACCCATCGTTCTCTATGAATATACCCGGACCCGAAAATAAAATCTCCAAATATGACTCTTTAAAGGCTGAGTTTTCCACAGCCTGAGCTTCTAGAATCTGGCCTACAAATTTCTATTTGGAGCGGACTGCCACTGGACTGGACTGGAGTGCTCCTCCTGCGCTGTCAAACTGAAGAATACCGCGTAGAACAACTGTGGTTGGCGGGAATCTCGTCTTCGATACCTAAACCGAAGTTCTGAGGGATCTGAGGCCGTTCCTTCCATGACTTCCATAACTCCCATTAACTACATTGGTCGACAACTTAACGTCTCCTATATTGATCGTTAAATGTACGGAGAAATTATCTATCCATCAGAGAGAAGAAGAGAAGTAGAGAAGTAGAGTAGAAAAGAAGAAGAGAAAAAGAGAAAAAGAGAAAAAGAGAAAAGGAGAGAAAGAGAAGAAGAGAAGAATAAGAGAATAAGAGAATAAGAGAATAAGAGAATAAGAGAATAAGAGAATAAAAGAATAAGAGAAGAAGAGAAGAAGAGAATAAGAGAATAAGAGAAGATAGAGGAGAAGACAAGAGGAGAAGAATTGAGAAGAAGAGAAGAAGAGAAGAAGAAAAGAAGAAAAGAAGAAAAGAAGAAAAGAAGAAAAGAAGAAAATAAGAAAAGAAGAAAAGAAGAAAAGAAGAAAAGAAGAAAAGAAGAAAAGAAGAAAATGAAGAAAAAAAGAAAAGAAGAAAAGAAGAAAAGAAAAAAAGAAAAAAGAAGAAAAGAAGGAAAGAAGACAAGAAGAAAGGAAGAAAAGAAGAAAAGAAGAAAAGAAGAAAAGAAGAAAAGAAGAAAAGAAGAAAAGAAGAAAAGAAGAAAAGAAGAAAAGAAGAATAGAAGAGAAGAAGTGAAGAAGAGAAGAAAAAGAAGAAAAGAAAAAGAGGAGAAAAGGAGAGAAGAACAGAAGAACAGAAGAAGAGAAGAACAAAAGAAAAACAGAAGATGAGAAGAAACAAAGAAGAGAAGAGAATTGAAGTGATGAAGAGAACAGAATAAGAGAAAAAGAATAGAAGAGTTGAAGAGTTGAAGAAGAATAGAGTTGAAGATTAGAAGAGAAGAAAATAGAAAAAGAAACAAATTAAGAAAAAAAAGAGAACATCGAAAAAAAAGAAAAGTAAAAAAGAAGAGGAGAAAAGGAAAGAAAATCAGGCATGAATAACAGAATAGAAAAAAAAAAGAATTGAAGTAAAGAATAAGAGAATGAAATGGGAATGGAATGAAGGAAAAGAAGAATGAAAAAAAATTCAAATTAAGAGTGAATTGATTTTTATCCCTCAACCACATCCAATTAGTCATCTACGGTGCAGAACCTCCACTTGTTTAAGTCCATATTATCAAGGGCGTTATACAGGGGGGGGCAAGGGGACAGTGCCCCCCCCTCTAGAACTCAGAGTTTTCAAATCTTAAACTCAAGAGTGAAGAACATAAAAAAATAGTTTGCTGTTCATTCAGTGCACTAAGAAGATTGTATACATTGACCAGAGCCGCCATGACAGAAGTACGAATGAAAAATTTATTTAGAATGCACATTCATCCTAATCGGATGGGCGCGATCAAGGATAGCTAAATAAAAAAATTATCTTTAAATGCCGAGCCACGAAGGCTTGAGTTTGAAGGTAGTAAAACATCATTCTTTTTAAAGGAATTAATTTTCATTGCACCGCCGTTTTCTTTTCATTACAAACTAGCTGAAGTGCCAGGCGTTGCCCGTGGAATTTTAAAAGTCGAATTTAATAAAAAACAACTTATAATTTATTTAGCTTATGATATCCCCAAGGGAATCCATGAGTTTCTTCACTAAAATTCAGCCCAATTGATTCAGCCGTTTGGCCATGGCCATAGCAAACATATAAATGAACGAAGAGCTTTATTATATAGATTACAATTGTACCCCTACTTTTTTTCAAAACGGAAACTTTTACAAGTCATAATTATTTTCCGGACCTCTGTCCTTTTTCATCTCATAGAATTTAAGTTTAAGTTGAGTTTTTCATTTTCAAAAATGTCTTTTCCTATCTCTAGTTTAAATACTTTTTTTAGAAACAATACTTTTTTCTGCTAGTTTTGTTTGAAGGAGAGATCTGATAAGAAAACAATATGTATGGGCCAGGGGGGGGGCTAGGGGGCATGTTTAAGGCCTCTCTGAGTACGCCCCTGCTTAGGGCCTGGGGATCTCGCCCCCCCCCCCCCGCCAGTATGCCCCTAAATAGAGTCTATTTTGGTTTAGAGGAGATATCAGTAGGGAAAGGATAAACATGTGACACCTGATTTGAAATTAATTTTTCAATGGCTGTTCAAAAATGTAAGTTTTAGATCTGTAGCTCAATTGAAACATTTGTTTTCAACCTTTCTGCAGGCTGCAACCTATACAATTAATACATTGCATTAGAAAAATATTTGAAAATCTCCCCTTCTTTTATATCGTTATATAATCGAAATTTCATGTTAATTAAATCCCAAATGTTAACAACCTTTATATTTGTCATGTTGACTGTGAAGTTTGTGGTTTTGAGATTTCAATTTCATGTAAATGTTTGTTGCTTGTGGTTTCATGTTATCAATTGACTATCGAAATGAACTCCCCTCTTTTGCATTCTTACATTCCAGTTTAATCAGTCTATCTAACCTCCTTGTGTGACTGCAGTTTTAAATTAAGATTTCTGAAAATGGAATTCTATAAAATCATATTTTTGTTAGTAATCACGAACCTATTAGGTAATAGCTTGTAATACTAAAGAACTAAGTCCAAAATATTATTTTTTTTTGTGAAAATATAAAGTATTTCTCTTCCGCACTCTGTAATTGAATTATAAAAGAATATTTATGACATTAAAAAAGTGCATTTAAAAAAAAGTTTAGTCTGATAACTTAGCGGCAGCCCTTTATAGCTTTTACAATTAAAACGGAAATTTACAGGTTAAACTCGAGACTATTGATTAAGTTCATGAACTTCACATTCGCCCCCCCCCCCCCTAGCTAAAGAAATCCTCGTTATTAATTTCTGTAAAATCTCTTGGTTTGATTTAAGGTGTAAACTAATATTTTCCTGAGAACTTTTTACAATGCAGTTTTAAACCTTGATTGTTAACACAATTTAATTTTTTTTTCGTCATCCTGGGAATCTTTTGAGATACTACGCATTTTCTACCTATTCATTTTACATGACCAAAGTTGTCTAAATTTTCAACATTTTATGAATAAAATAGATTATCTATTGTTTACTGTTGCAGGAGTTCATACTGAGGACGAAACTTGTGGATTTGAAAACGACTTCTGTATTTTTACTTTTAACGAAACAAAATGGATGTTTCAGAGGTAACCTTAAAGATGAAGATTTAGTCTAACGTTTGTAGTAACAGTTGTAGAAGGATTTTTCTACACAATTACAAATTATTTACAATGAATGAGATTTCAGATTTTGTTCAGGATGCAGATATGATTACTGAAATATTATTGCAATAACTACAAAATAAAAATATGTTTATCAATATAATGAAGCTGTTCGTTTATATATATATTTATTGAAAATTCGATGATGGTGATGGACCAAACCTCTGTAGAGTAAAAAAAGTAGATGTTAGTTCCACATTTATTAAAAATATATTTCGGTCTGGGTTGACCCTCGTCAGTTCTAATGATAAAATAACCATTAAAATCGATAAAAAAAAAATTAAAAAATTGTTAAAAACCACAAGAAAATAAACAAACAAAAAGATTATTCAAAATAAAAATATGGGCTGTCATATGGACATAAGGGAAACGAACTCAGATTATGAGATGGAAAAAAGATGATTTGCAAATATTCACTTTTTAAAAAAATGTTTAAGACAATTATTATTCCTTGAGATTGTTTCTGTCACATGTATGATAGCCATAGCTGGCCAAACGACTGCAGGCCGAGAGGGCTGAATATTTTTGTTGGGATAAGTTTTAATGTTTTTTTAAGTTTTATAATTGTGTTATAGAATGAATTCAGAAGAAGTTTCAACTACTGGAGGTCTAGGACCTCCTTCAGATCATCTCCAGAACACTAAAGGTAAAAAAAGGTCCGCTATTTATGGTAATTAACAATGTTAGGTTACACACTACATCAAACATATATTATAGGGTATTGGGATAGTTCATAGAAATTGATTATATATTTAGACATTTCATAGGCATCAGAGAGAAAAATCAAAATATATAAAGATATATATATACATATATTTGTTAAAGGGTGTTGAGACATTTAAAAGAAAAGACATTTCATACATGGACAGTAGACACTCCATAGAAGAATTTAGTAGAGAGGACATTTCATTATTTCGTGGAAATTAACGATATATTGATGTTGTACCTTACATCTATAATGACATGTATAATTTGTTATCTTTCAAATGTCTCAACACGATATCATTAAGCTTGAAACATTAAAAAGACAAATTTTAAGGGGTTATTGTACAAGAAGTAACAGAAGAGGTGTATGTCATTCTACGTCTATTAACCCCATGAATAAATTTATTACTAGATCTAATGTTTTAGGAAAATTTCTTTGGTTGAACATGGAAGAGGATACAAACATTACAAGTGCATATTCGTATCTTATATCCTCCTTCCTCCAACCAAACTTCAAGGACAATCATATCAGTAGATGTTTTTCATTCTGGTTCATGATTTTGGTAAATATCACCAACAATAAAGATACTAAAAAGTTACGCTAAAACAAAATCTAAATAATATGCGGAACTTTCAGATGTAATCAAAAGGACAACTGAGTGTTTTAGTTTTAAGATTTCGTCGTTATAGTAGATTTCACGATTTTCTGCAATGTATAAAAAAATCACTATTCCATTTTATTTATGATGATTTTTTTCATCAAGATTGTTTTTTTTATGAAAAGAAAGAGTTTTTGCGACAAATTCAAATTTCCTGCCCTATAATTTTGTAACCCAATGTCGTAGACCTATAACATTTCAAACTATGAATTCCATTTAATTTTGAAATATCAGATGTTTGTTTCCAGGATGAGAACATGCTACAAGATTTATATATCAGTGTAGAGGATGAGTTTGGTATTCCAACTGATATTTGGAGATATAAAGAGACCAGCGAACAAGTACAGATTATTTCTAATTAAAATTTAGAAATTTTAACAACCTTTTTTTCTAGGAATGGAAACTAGGACAAGTTAAATTAGATATGTCTGTTAAATTTAAGGTTATACTGCTATAATTTAATCATCATCAAAAAAAAATTTTTGCCTGTATATATTTATTCAACATTGTAAACTCTTACCATTTGCATTTTAAACGAACTTATTTTTATATAGATTCGGATTGTTGCATTGAGGAAAAATTTTGGGCCCGGCTTTATTGCTTTTGATGACTACACACTGAGAACAGATTTTGAAAACGAGGATTGCCCGATATCACCCCCTGGTGCAGCTATCAACCCGTCTACAACAACAACAACTAGCAGTCATGATACATTTCCAGACTGTACCTTCACAAATGACATGTGCTCATGGTTTAATGAGGTATCTATATGTGTATATACTGTATATATGTACTGTGTATACACACTTAGTCAAGAATAAGATTTGTATAACTATAATTTTTCCCTTTTTGAGTTTTGAAGGGTGGACAAAATTATTTTGATTCTCTACTTCGACCATGTTTTAGAACACTATCTGCCTAGCTCATATTTTCTTAATATCTCCTTAGCGTTTTGATTGTTTGGAATTTGGAAAAATTATGAGCTATGAAAAAAATTTGACTGCCTGTAGAAAATACCTACTCCATAACAATTTAATCGAGACGTGTCTATCCAGGTATACTCGTTACCAAGATCAACCAGGACTAACTTCTCAGATTCTAAAGGCCCCTTAGGCAATATCTCAACCAGGATTAACTCCAAGGCTTTAAATGGCACATAGACCAAAATCTGCAAGTTTCAGAATATCATTTTTACCCGCTTTTTGCTAAATGCCTGCCCTAAACACCCCCGATGCATGATTAATGCTCTTGCTCCTGAAGCATTCTAATAACTTGCAACACAGAAATCAAATGTTAACAAAGCAGTAATATTTTCCGCTCATCTCCATAGCGTTTTGCATCTCTCTGCCAAATCTGAGGCACCAGCCACATCCTTTGCATAGCCTTCAAATCTTTGCCAAATCTATGACAAGGCGGCCATATCTGTGGCATGATGTCCAAATCTGTGGCGTGGTGGCCAAATCTGTGACATGGCTGCAAAATCCGTAGCACAACAGTCAAATCTGTGGCTCAGCGGCCAAATCTGTTGCTCATCTGTCAAATCTGTGACACAGCGACCCAATCTGTGGTGGGGCGGCCAAATCTGTGGCACAGCTGCTAAATCTGTGACATGGCGGCCAAATCTGTGGCACGGCAGCCAAATCTGTAGCACAGCTGCCAAATCTGTGACATGGAGACCAAATCTGTGGCACGGCAGCCAAATCTGTGGCATGGTGGCCAAATCTGTGGTAAGGTGGCCAAATCTATGGCATAGACTCCAAAACTGTGACACGGCAGCCAAATCTGTGGCACTGCGGCCAAATCTGTGACACAGCGGGAAATTCGGTGGGACGGCGGCCAAATCTGAAACAAAATCGTAAATTTGTATACATAAAAACAAAAAGTTCGAATGTATTTTGGCTTCTTTGTTCCAAGGAAGCAAAACAAAAACTAAATTGTAATAACACGGAAGTACAAATTGTGCACGCTTAAATTGTGTACTGCACAAGTCATTTCCGGTCACATATACTATTTCCTGTTATGGCTTTCTCAATTTCTCATTGATCTTCTGAACAGGGTTAGCCACAACATTTTCTAAAAAAATCTATGTGAAGAATCTACAAATTTCTTTGAACTATTTCTATTTACATCAAATAATTTTTAAGCAAAATTACTTTATTTTGATTTCTGGCATCAAGACTTTAAAGACCAAAGAAGGCTATAGCTCAAATTTCCAGAAGCATGTGTACATTTTTTCCTATAATATTTTATACATGTTAAGGGAAACGGATTACGTTGGAGCAGAGGAAATTCTGAAGAGTTTGAAAGTAAAGGAGAAAATTGTCCAATAGGAGATATTGTTGAGGATAAAAAAGGTTTGTTTTCATTTTTATTAAATCTATTCATAAACTTAAAAATATCTTTTCAGGGTATTATATGCTCCTTAGCAAAGGAACCGATGAAGGCCCCCCCAGTCTTGTCGCAACTTTAAGTTCAACAGAATCAAAAATATCAGAAATCTTCTGCATGCGTTTTGATTTTAATATATTTGTAAGTATAATGTGATTTTTTTACAATATTATGGCAGTACTGAAATGTCTTTTTCATGTATAAAGAAGGATGGCGGATTTACAAGCTTTAGAATAAGAACTAACACCAGCGAAGGGTTGTTAAAAACGGTTTGGGAGCTAACAGATCATGCCATGTTTGCCGATAATCGTTGGATGGTAGGACAAGCTCAAGTCAACTCTAAACTTATACTTTTTGAGGTAAAGTTTCATCGTCATCTACATTGTAAACATTTTAAACAAAAGAAGTAAAATTGAAAAGCTAAACAAATTTTAACTTTGAAATCTCTTGTACAGGTTACTAATGTTTAAATATGTTAACCCTAGGCTGTTCATGAGCTACACCCTGTAGGATACATTGCTCTGGATAATATACAGGGGACACTGGTAGAAAATGATTGTGAAGTTTTACCTAAAGAAGCAATATTAACTACAGAGGCTCCTGTTACAACTTCAGGAACAACACCTGGTAAACTGCAACAAGACATTTGATTTAATATTCTTTAGCAGGCATATCTATATAATAAAACTCATATAGGTGTATGTATGTATGTATGTATGTATGTATATATATTTAAATGTCAACTATAGACATAGCTTTGGGCCTAATGGGCTGAAAATATTTAAGGGAACCCTAGGAGTAAAATAGGCTGAACATTTTTTTTCAAAAATCTAATTCAATTTTATAAAAATTCCATGGGCAACGCCGGGTACTTCAGCTAATAATTAATGATATATAGAAAGGCAAAATGTTTATCAATTTTTTTATAATTATTCAATTTCAATTATTCTGGTCTTGTATGTTAGATCTATGCATAACTAATCATGTTAAGGAGAGGACTTCCCAGTCTGTGACTTTGAAAATAGTAATTGCGGATGGACTTCAAACCAAGATGATGAAAACAGGTAAGCCCTAGCCCTAGCACTCTCATTTTTAATCTTTCTTGACTTTTAAAAGATATTTATTTAAAGGATTTTTTAAAACATTTTTTAATGGATAATGGTAGGGTTCAGGACAGTCCGTGTAAATGTTTGTTAAATAGCTAATACCTTTGTTTTTACTCAAGCTACAGATCTTAAATTAACATTTTTGAAAAACCCTTGAAAAAGTTAATATTAAAACATCTGTCACATGTACCACTGTGCTCTAAATCGACCCAAAAGTTCGATCTTGTGTCACTGTGAAACTTAAAATTTTTCTTTACCATGGTTTAGGGAGTCAGAATCCGATTTCACAAAAATCTGAACGCACTTCAAAATTAAATTTTACAATAAGTCTAACGAATTTCAAGTTATCGCCGATTTTTATTAATGTATAAGATAGTTTAAATATTAATTGAGAAAAAAAAACATTATTTGGGGAATTAAAATACTTCAAATAAAGAAAAATTGAAAATACAAATTTTAAAAGAGTATCAAAGAGAATTATATAGAGGAAAGATTTGTATTAGAACACACAACTGCAAAAACGTATGAAATAAATGTATCAAAGATAGGAAAATGAGGATAAAAGGATGAAAATAGACAAGCAAAAGATATCCACAGTGAAAAGGAAAATATTAGAATGAAATAGTGAAAGGAAAAAGAGTTATAAAAAAACCAAATAAAATGAAGAAACAAAAATAAGAAGTAGATGCAAAAGAATAAATAATAAATAAAAAAATATGATAATATAGATTAAGAGAATTAAGAGAGAGAACATGTAAGAAACATTATAAAGAGATAAAATTGTCCTCCTTTACATTTTGTTAAAGGAATTGAGTCTTTGTCACAAACTATGATTTTCTAATCAGTATATCTTTGTAATCCAATGCCGTAGACCTTAGATATTTCAAACTATGAATTCTGTTAAATGAAAAAATCTAAGTTTGAAATATCAAAGGTTTACACCATCAGGTGGAAAAATATAGGTATTAGAAAATTAGAGTTTGATACAAAGACTCAATTCCTTTGGTTATTACTTTAATATTTTGGCTTTCAAACTATCTATTTTCCGCCAATTCACGTTTTCCTAAAATAAAAATTCAGATTACGGAATAGATAGATAGATATAACTCTTTTGATTACAAAAAACTATATTTGATGGCCATAAATATTTTCAGCATGTTTTGGGGGGTCATAGGATTGAATAAGACAGAAATAAACTTCAACAGATGTATTTATACCAATAAAATATAAACTGATTAATTCCATTCATTTGAACTCTGAGAGATAGACATTAAACTGTATGAAGAAACAGAGTTAGGTAGTTTATGAAACTGGTAATGGGATCGAAAATGAAGCCTTTGCGAAGACCCTTGATAGAGGAGGGGCAAATAGTTGACCTTGATATCCCTAGGATTTATGTCTGGAATTTGCAATGATATAAAGAGGTTTATACATAACAATAAGCCAGAAGTTTAGTATCTAAACCTAGAAGTTTATCATCTAAACCCTGAAATATATTTCCTGAAATTTTGAGTTCATCATATAAACCATGGAGTTTATCGTCTAAACCTAAAAGGCTAGACATTGGAGTTTTTCATGAAAATAAATTGAATCTTTGCCACAAACTCGGATTTTCTAATCCCTATATCTTTGCAACCCAATGTTGTAGAACTTAGATATTTTAAACTATCAATTCTGTTCAAATAATCTAAGTTTAAAATAGCGAAGGTTTTCAGCATCAGGTTGAACAAATTTATGGATTAGAAAATTTCAGTTTGTAGCAAAGAGCTAGCAAAATATTTTAAAGCATGTTCAATTAAAGTAATTATTACTTTAAGAGTAAAAACAAGTTTTTATCTGTTCCGTTATAACAGAGCAAGTAAGGGTCAATACGTTTTATTTTCTTCAAAATTCTTTAAAAAGTTCACTATAATTTAAAATGTCGTATGTGGGCTAACAAAATATATCGCATGGTTTAAATGGTTTATATATGCCTAGAAGAAGTATAGACCAGATTTTAAAAAAGGTTGTTTTAAGTCCAACATATACCCAGCTTTCACCTGGGGCTCATCGCATTTGATTTGTTTATAATCAATTTTTTTTCTTCTGTAAATGTGCATAACAATTATTTTTTAAATATTTAGAGTTTGGTGGTCTATTGGCAGCACAGGGTCATTCAATGAATCTAAAGTCCAATGTCCCGATGGGGATTTTTCTGGTTCATCGACGGGGAAATATGTTCTTGCAAATCATGCTTTGAAAGGGAATCCTGCAATACTTTCATCTCAACTTGTAAATACAGATGCTAAATTTTGCATGATGTTTCAGTTCAACATACCGGTAAGTTTTTAAGCCAAAAATGGTCGAAAAAGATTTTTGGCCATTTTAAGAAACTAAAACATTAGAGAAAGCTTTCTTTTTTGACAGCTTTTAAGTTGTTCTGCATGCAGTGATATATTTTTTGCACAGTGAGCATTTTTTTCTGACCTCAAACTGTTAATTTCTGATTTAAATTTACTTTTGACTGTTCTGCTTTCTGGATTTATACTCATGAACTAAGATTAGAAATAATACATTTTTAGCATGAAGGAAGCTTCAACCATTTGTTGGTTAAAACTCTAGATCCTAGTGGAGCATGGATTACTGTTTGGGAATTGTCCGATATGTCGCTTTTTGCTGACTCAGAATGGCTTGTTGGACAGGTTGAGGTATATAGTAAACAGATACAATTTGAAGCTTTCAAAACAGATGCTGTGGGTGGTTGGGTAGCCATCGACAATATTATAAACGTTAATGAGCGTAGTTGTATAATACTTCCACATGAAGCTGAGGTCTCTACTATTCCCTCCCAATCTACAACCCAACAAGGTCAGACCAATGAAAAAAAAATTTTTAGTTAAAATGTATTTCCAATAAAAACTTTTGACTGAAATTCCTTTTTTCAGCAGGTTCTGATTTAGCATGTGATTTTTCTTCAAGTCTTTGTTTCTGGACCTCCAATTTTGATGAAAGCGAAAGCGTTTTCTGGGTGAAAGGTAACTCTGAAGAGTTTGAATCTAATGACATCTCTTCTCCGACTGCAGGGCGACATGACGAAAAATCAGGTTAGCTATTTTTCAAATGATAAAATTTTGAACGTTACAAATATCAAAACTGGGCCTTTTATAGAGTACTATGTATTGGCTGAACCTAAGAGACAAGGAGATTATGCTATTCTTACTTCCCAGCGTGTAGACACAGAGACCACGGCTTGCATGGGATTTTACTTCAGTTTAACGGTAACTTTTCCTCTAAAGTATTTTGAATAAGAAAGTATTCAAGTTACTCAGTTTAACTACTCAATAAATTTTTAAAATATCAATTTCTTCACGACATTATGATATAACAAAGCTGTCAAATATTTCAATTGACAAAACATGCTTAAAGGAATTGAGTCTTTGCCACAAACTCTGCTTTTCTAAATCCTATATCTTTGGATTCCAATGTCGTAGACCTTAGATATTTCTAACTATGAATTCTCCTAGATCAAATAATATAAGTTTATAATATCAAAGATTTACGATATTGGGTTCCAAAGATATAGGAATTTTAAAACCCGAGTTTGTGGCAAAGACTCAATTCCTTTGTTGAATTTTTATACAGCTCATATGTGCCTCTGATTTCAGGCCATGGGGGAATGGACACAATTATCAGTATTGACGGCAGTGGATAGTGAAACCATGGCAGTTGTTTGGGACCTCTCAGATAAAACATTATTGGCGGACGGACTTTGGATATATGGACAAACTAAAGTGAACACTCGTCAAGTCCAGATTATTGCTACTAAAGGTGATGGCACTAATGGCTGGGCTGCCTTGGATGATATAACCATGGAAAATAATGATGTGTGTTCTACTATTCCTGAAAACGCAGCAACCCCTACAAGTTCTCATGAAACAACAAAGACCCCAGGTATACATATGTGTTCCCTCTCATTTTGGCAGTGGCATGTATTGGGGGTAAGCACACTCCCCCTAGAATCTAAGAGTAAATAAACTGTTAATGTCTGAAAAATTAATTAAACTTGGAGTACAGGGTTACCCAAAAAGGATGGGGCTTCAGAGACGACTTTTTATTTAGACAAATTTCCTCGCTGTTCCTTCGAATCTGGAACCTGTGAGTGGACAAGTAACAAGAACGAAGCAGGAGAAGAGTGGTGGCAAAGGAATACATCGCATATTTTAAATGTTGGGGAGAATACGGTTGGTCCTGAATCTGACTTCGAGGGTCATGAGGATGGTGAGAATTTTTAAAAACTTTATTCTTTTTCGAATGCAGAGATCAGAGAATCTAGATTTTATGAAATTAATTTTCACAAATTCAACCCTTTTTAATCTTTTAAAAATTTAGTTTTAAAATAATTTAGTAGTAAACTAATTTTAACGTAAAGATGATGCATTAGATTGTTTTCAAATCTTTAAGTTAAATAGAATCTGATAAGAATATGATACTTTATCCTAACAGAAATGTTCAGTGAATTTCAAAAATGGCCCAGATATGTTACATCGGTCAAAGATTGGGGATTTGACAAAAATTAGTCATTTCAAACAATCTGTACAGCGTACAAACTGCATTCTAGATTAATTATTATTAATATTCTTATCAAGCGTATTTGTAAACAAGGCTTACACTATTTCATCGTAGGATTTTACATGATTGCTGTTGATAAAAGCAAGGTTGGAGAAGCTGTTCTATCATCCCCATACTTAGAAACTGATGCTAAAACTTGTTTAAGTTTTTGGTTTAATTTGTTTGTAAGTATTCATATTTACCATCTATAGCATTTTTAATAAATGATTTTTAAAATATCCAGAGAAATGGCGACTTTGTTGCAATGCGAATCTCTACAATAGATCCTCATGGAGAGAATATACTTGTTTATAATTTACGTGATACTTCTGCATTTGCTGATGATACCTGGATTTATGGACAGGTGGAGGTTTACTCCAGGGAAGTTTCGTTTATAGTTGAGGTTATTGATACTATTGGAAAAGGTTGGGCTGCTGTTGATGAAATTTTAGATGTAGACATACCACTTTGCACTACTGTGCCAGCAGAAGCTGCTGTTTCTACTATACCTCCTGATACAACTACTCCTATACAAGGTACTTATACCTATCAGGAATAGAAGGTTGGTTTTTACCTTTTTAAACTTAAAGGGAGTGTTCGCGAAAAATGAAAGGGGGTATAGGATTAATGCGATAAAAAAGCGCTTTTGATCGCTACTAATCTTACTTCTATCTGTTGCGTCTATAAGGAGAAAATTGTTAAAGACGTGACAAACCGGCCATACAAATTCAGAAAATTGCAACATACGACTTAGACCGTAAAAAATCAATTTAGTTTCAAACGAATCATTTCAATATTACAACCAATAGTCATCGATTATCTTTCGCCACATTTGTATATAGTTTATATTTTATAATATTTTATTTTTTAGAAAACGTTTTTAACGGATTTCAAAAATTGTGAGTGGTGCGCGGCATTCTTAGATAGTTGCGCAAGCGACAAGAGAAATAAACAAATTCAAAACAAATTAATCAAAAAATATTATAAAATATAAACTATACACAAATGTGGCGAAAGATAATCGATGACTATAGGTTGTAATATCTGAATGATTTGTTTGAAATTAAATAGATTTTTTTACGGTCTAAGTCGTATGTTTCATCTTCCTGAATTTGTATGGCCGCTAAGTTATTCGGTATGAGACGTCTTTAACAATTTTCTCCTTATAGACGCAACAGATAGAAGTAAGATTAGTAGCAATCAAAAGCGCTTTTTTATCGCATGAAGCCTATACCCCCTTTCATTTTTCGCGAACACTCCCTTCAAAACACGATATTATGTTTTAAAGGAATTTATTTCTAATTAACGACTAATTGTAATTTTAGAAATAACACATTTAGCAATGTTTTGCTTTTAAAAAAAAAAAATATTTATTAATAGGACAATCATAAAGAAATAATTACAAAAAACTTTTCATACATTGAAATAATATATACACACTTTAGAACCAGAACTAAGTGGATGTGACTTTGAAAAAGATGAATGTGGTTGGACCGTAGACTATCAGCTGAACAACACAGAAACATTTATGTTTGTGAGAGCTAGAGGAATAGACTTTCAAGATAATCAGGGTCCAACAACTGATCATTTAGCGAACAAAGAAGGTGCATCAACTTTGTAATTTAGTTAATTATGACTTAAACATTAGGTCTTTTATTGATTTTTTCAGCATATTTCCTTTGGGCAAGTTCTCGTCTTGGACTGCCTGGAACTGTTACAGGAATCATAAGTACCGAACTCCTCGCAAACTCCAAATTTTGCGTAACTTTTTGGTTCGACATTCCGGTAAGTAGGAATTTAATTAAATAAGAAAATGGAATTAAAAGAATATAATTTAAAATGAAAACACACGAAAAGTTTTTAATTTAAGTATATTATTTTAAAATAAAAATACAATCATTATCCTATATTTATGGAATTTTTAAATTTACACTTTATAGCATGATGAAGGAATTCAGTCTTTAGAGATTTTTACAATCTCTCCATCTGGAGGAAACAAAAATCTCCTTTGGAGTTTTAGTACAAAATTGGACTTTTGGGAGGAAGGGCGTGTTTTAGTAACTAACCATGAAAACTACCAGGTAAAAAAAGGCATGCAAAAGATATTATAAAACAACTGATTTCTCGCCTCAAACTCTAGTTTTCTAATCCTTATATCTGAGGTTTAATAAAAAGCAGAAAATAGTTGAACCCATTAGACGAAGTTGAACCACTTCTCCCCAACTTTAACCGACGCACAAGAAAAGTGGTTTAACTAAGACATATGGTTCAACTACTTCAACTTTGAATTACAGGTTGTATTTGAAGCAGTAAAAGGAAACTTGACAGAGGGATACATAGCTATTGATGATATTGTTGTGACTAAGTCTGAAGATTGTCAAATTAAACCAACTGATGCTTCTCCAACTACTCCGGGATCAGAAACAACAATTCCCAATGTAGAGCAACCCAACTGTAATTTTGATAATGGGCTCTGTGACTGGATCTTAGAAGATACAGAATGGAAGTGGAAAAGGTACAAGAGTTTTTGGTTTCCAAATAGTTTTTGTTACTTTTACTTTCTGTTTAGAGTAAGCCTTGCAGAACTGGCCGAAGAAGGAAAAGAGCGTCCGAAAAACGCTGATGGATATTTTTTGTATGCAAGTGGGCAAGATGGTGAGCAGTCATCCAGGGATCAGATTTAATGAATAGCAAGACATAGTTAAACTAAGTAGAGAAAGTTGAACCACTTCTCTTACGTAAGCTGTATCATGATTGTCTTGCTATTTATTAAATCTGGACTTAGGACACTTTTCCGATCTCCATCTGCTAATTCAAGACTTGCTTCATGTATGAAGTTCAAATATAGCATTTACGTAAGTTTATTATTAAAAGATAGTTTTTTATTGTAATAATAACAATATCTAAATCTTAGCATGAACAAGGTATTTCTGCTTTGCGAATATTCACCCTTGGAGAAGATTTTGAATTTCAAACTATCTGGGCTCTCATTGGATACACTCAAGATACTAATGAATTTTTTGTTGAAGGTCAAGTTGCAGTTTCAGGCAAAGAGGTATAAGAATATAAATAGAAGTTTTTGATCCTTACATAATTTTTGCAAATTCCAGGTTATTTTTGAAATAGAAGGTGGTAGCAAACGTAATGGATATGTTGCTGTTGATGAAATCACATTTGAAAATTTGGAGAACTGCGAGACAATTCCTAACAATGCTGAACCATCGGTTCCAAAATTTCCTGATTGCAATTTTGAAGCAGGCTTATGTAATTGGAAAATTGAAGAATCACTTTGGAAGTGGGAGAGGTAACACATTTCTACAATATCAGGCTTTAATTCGTTTTGCGCCCCCATTTCCTGTAAATAATTTTTGCTTGTAATTGTCGCTCTGAAAGTCGGACATTTAAAATCATTTTCAATGATTTTTTCTTTCGAATAGGCGCATTTTCAAAAAAAGGCTAGCTTTTTTCAAGGAATTTTTTTCTCCAATTTTGATGTTCCATAAACCTTCCCTGGGGTCATGTTAGGTGTCCCCAAAGAGAATTGAATATATATTAGAGGGGAATTTACTAGAAAAAAGTGTAAAACGGCCATTTTGTTGTACTGTTTCCATACTGCAGGTGTACTTCACATATTTATGCTATATAACCTTTTGGGCCCTGGAATAGCATTTTATAGAAAATCTAAAATTAATATTAAAAGAAAACCAAATTATGAAATAGGCTTGTTTCATAATTGACCAATGATCATTTTACATAGACTCTGTGCCTGTTACTTTAGAAACGATGATTTTCCGTTATAACTATAAATCAAATGATGCTTTTTATTCACCTAATTCATTATAAAGTTTATTTAAAAGTTTTAAAAAATTCGAAATTGAAATGGATAGTCTAGGGAACATACTGTATTATTGTACTCTACTGCATATAATTTGTGAGCATTTACATGATTTGTACACTTTGAACTCCCTTTTAGGCTGGAAGCGACTGAAAAAATTCATACCGAGAGATTCTCTAAATTCCCCTCTAATATCTATTCTATTCTCTTTGGGTGTCCCACACAAAAATTAGACCCGATCGGTTCAACCGTTTTGACGATTATTGGTTACGAACAAACAAACAAACAAACAGACAGACAAGCAAAGTATTATATTTATATTTGAATATAGGTAAAAAATAGGATTCTTTTCATTTCCTTGTTTTAGAACAAATTTGAACGACCTGGAATCCCGAAACGAGACTAGACCTGGAAATGCTGAGGGAAGTTTTATGTTTTCTAAGGGATGGAATTCAGAAGACGATATGTTTGCAATTCTTTCATCTCCGAAAATGGAATCTGCCACACAAGCTTGCATTAGTTTCAAGTACAGTATTCTGGTAAAGCATTTGTCAATTTTGATTTGATTTTTTATAGAAAAGAACGGAAGTGGGTGATTTATAGTTTTTTTTATTAAATTCTTTGTGAGAAAAGTTTCTGCTTTAATGAGTAATTGTGAATTTAAAAAAAAATTCGGAACTGAAATCACTAAACTTTTCTCATAAAACGTTCTTTTGTACTAATCTCTAGTTTTTTTTATGAATTATTATATTATATGGGTTAATTTTCTGTGACAATATTTTATATTTAAGTGATGGTTTCTTTTTATATTTTTCTGTTATTTTGTATTAATAGACTCTGACTTCTACAAATTTACAATTTTGAGCTTGTAAAATTTTAGCATGCAGAAGGGATTTCATCATTAGCAATTATGGCTGAGACCGGAACCTCAGTTGCTAAAATTTGGGAGCTAAGCAAAGCTAATGAAGACACATCCAAGCTTTGGTTTGAAGGTCGAGTTCATGTCGATGCGGCAGAGGTATAAAAAAGGAAAACATTGCTCTTAATAGAATTTAAAAAAAAATTTGTAACATAATAATTTAGATTTATTTTGTTGTTGACGGAGGAAGTGCTTTTAATGGATATGCAGGAGTGGACAATATACTTTTTCAAGATGTCCAAGAGGATTGTACAGTAATTCCTTCCTACGCAGCCCCAATCACTACAACTCCTAAACCAAACACGACTCCAAAACCTACGCCAAACTTTCAATCTTGTAACTTTGAGGAGGATACTTGTGAATTTATTTCACCAAAAGACCCGAAATGGGTCAGGGTTACCGTGGAAGACTTAGAGAATCTTGGGAAACCCGTTCCTGCAGGAAATGATAGAGGTTGGTATCAAATACTGAAAATTCATGCTGTTTTGATTCCGCCCTTTATTTCTACTGCTTAACTTGATTTTGTTCTGCATCCTTTATCATTTATGTATCATTGAGTTCAAAAATAAAGTTTTTTAATGCTGACTGCAGACAAATTTTTATTATTTTGACGCTTTTTAATCTCCATGACATATAATCAAAATTGATATAATTTTTTTGGTAATTTTTTATTTTTTATACTTAATCATCTATTACAATATATTTGAAATAGTAATCTCTGTTGATATTTTTGTATGTCCGATCATAACTCAAGAACCCCTTTACAGATTTGCCTAAAATTTTGATTGGGGAATTCTGTAGAACCACGGAAATGTTCTTAGCTTGGTTTAAAAGGTCTAAGCTGAAGAGGCTGACTCTTAAAAAGAAAACTGGGTTCCCAAGCTAGAAATATATTATTAGTTGAAGTCACAATCATTCTTCTCATCTTGTATTCGCTGCTTATGATAAGGGTAGGATTTAAGTTGAGGGACCAGGAGAAGGATGAAAGGTATATGTCCTCTGTTTCCAACAAGACGGTTTACCTGCTTACTTCACCGTTGTGTCTGGGGGGGGGGGGTCTTGTAAAGGTTTCCGTCTCTCTATATTACTCTTTTTGGAGTTTGCAGTTATAGGATTTTTATCAAGACATACTAACGTATAATCATATGAATAAAGTAAATATATGTAAATTCATACAGGGTGTCCCAAAAAAATGGGAATTCAGTGACGAATTGGATATCGTCTTTGTTATGAATTAGCATTGTAATACCTAATTTCAAAAGCCATAATACTATTATGTCGGCTAGAGTTTATTTTATGAAAAGGGTAAAAGACTGTAAAGATGTGTCTATAATGTTTCCGCAAGATGAACAGTGAAGACGGACAAGTTTACTCTGTTAGTATACTGTAGTTTCCTTGTTTTACTAAATACAACCGTATACAGTCAAAACATAAACAAAATAGCAGACGAAACTCTTACAGAAAACAGCTTTCTCAGTAGGTATCACTATACTAAATCAAAGAATTATCTTAAAAGACGATATCGAATTCGTCACTGAAATCCCATGGTTAATGGGACACCCTGTATAAAACATCAAGTTAACACTCTCATCTTTATTTATTTAGGATATTTCATGTATGCAAGTGGGGATGAAGGAAGCCCAGGAACAAGTTTTATTCTCGAGTCTGATATGCATAGCTCTGCAATTAATACATGCTTTCATTTCTTATACAGTATTCAAGTCAGTCCATTATACATTTACAGTTTTAGTATAATGCAAAAGATAAAAGATACCCTTAAATCATAAAAAAAAGGTATCTTTAACATATGTAATCGACATTATTGCTTCAATGAACATGAAACACAGCAATTGTACATTGTAAACAGACTATATTCACTTCATAAGTGAATTAATAAGTTAGTAGTAAAACTATTTGCTTTGTAACAACATCAACTTCACTTTATTATTGCTTTAATGCCGTCTTCATATTCCACAGTTTTCTGGTTCTCACTGTATTATCGTGGTTCTCAGCTCATTTATTTTCTTTTGACCATGTATCTTTTATAACATGCACATAGTGCATTCTTAAACACAATGCTTGTAATTATAGAAATAACATATTTGTTATTAAATTAAATATTCCAAATCACATTCACATTTCTATTATTCATATAGAAAGTACTTATGTCGGACATAATTTTAGCATGATGGAGGGTTTACATCTCTCCGAATCAAAATACAAAATCAACAAGAACAAGAAGAATATGTTTGGGAATTATCTGACACACTAACAAACAGTCATTGGGAGTTTGCCCAAGTTCATATAACGGCACACAAGGTTAAAATAAACTTATTTAGTATTAAATTAAAATCAGTAAAAACGCATTTTGGTTTTCTAATTTATCCTTGTAATTTTATAGGTTACTCTAGAAGCTGTAAGAGGAGACGGCTCTATTGGATATGTTAGTATTGATGATCTCGTATTTGTTTTTAATGAATCTCCTGAACTGTGTTCTGTATTTCCTGAAAATGCTGCTGTTAATTCTACTGGATCAACTCCAACAGATGGATCAACACAAGCTACTCCAACTCCTGAAAACTTCCAATCCTGCGGATTTGAAGAGAATACTTGTGAGTACAGCTCACCTTCTAAAGATAAATGGATTAACAATCATTTACACTTAGCATGAAGGTGGTATACAAAGTATAAATGTTGTTCAACAAGATGAAGAACTGGAAGATCATCCAGGTACTAAAATACTTAAGACATATATTATAAGTTTCCTTTAATTCAATACCAAATATGATTCACAATTGTACAGCGGTTACCAAGAACATTTTGATGATCATAATATAGCATGTTTAGCCAGACTTTTAGACTAAAATATCAAACTTCTTCAAAACAATTTCGTCTAAGTGAGAGTTATTTTGAATTATTTAAAAAATCTTGTGATTTATAAAACGAAAAATCTTGTTATAAGAAAATTTCATGAAAAATGGATTAATGTGGAGATCCGTAGAAATCGTCTTCAAGTCCGGAAGCTTAACTAGCCAAACCAAATATATTTGATAGAACTGAAACCCATGATGTTTCTTCGATTAAATAAATATCTCAGTTGGTTTATTTCGGTCGTTTGGTGACCCTGACGTGATATTTTTGTCCAAAATAATTCCTCTCATTGATGTGTCTGAAATTCCTGGTTCTGGAGAAGATGAGAAGAACAGTGTTCAAGTCGATTCACAATATTTCTCATCCAGGCAATCGTGCTTCTAGAAGACTAATTTCAAGAAGTGTTGTTTGGTAAGGTTCCTCCAAAGATGTAAATTTATGGTCTTAAACCTGTATAGATTGCCAATGGAGCAAGGTTCAAACCCACAGCATAAGAATGTGCCAAGGTTTTACTCCGATCCTGGATACCAACCTTTGTAGCTACATCTGTGATCACCTCCGATTGTGAGCACAGTTCACAAGCTCTATCTGGATAGATCTTTGCAGGTTCCTTGGAATCATATACTCTCCAACCCATCTTTCCATCCACAGTCCAATGGCCTGGTGGAGAGGTTCCATTATCGTCTCAAAGTGTTTCTGAGAGGTCGTTTGTCTGGAACAGACTGGTTCAATCATCTTCCCATGGTGTTACTTGGTCTGTGGTGTGTTTCCAGAGAGGATTCTGCTATCTGCCTCCAAAGCTCTATTTGGTTTCTGGATAGTTCATCAGGGAAGATTCATCTAAATCACTGCTTTCTCCACTGTACAGAGGACCCTGCCAAGTTCTCTTCCGAAATCCTAAGTGTTTGTTTGTTCAAGTAGGTTCAAAGTCTGACTCCGTCAAAGTCTGAAACCTGTAATCTATCAACAACCTCCCCAATGTGAAAGACCTCCCTTGGCTCTGGCTCCGTTTATCCCGGTTCCATTGACTCTGGCTCTTTTGACTCCAACCTCTCCAATACCTCTCGAGAGAGCCAAGAGGATGAAGAAGCGAGTTTGATTTTAACCTCAGCATTCTACTCCTCTCCTAGTTTGTCGGAACCCTCTACGAGAAGTTCGAAATAAGCATCAAGTTCCTCATCAAGTTCATCACTTCGATGCAGGGGGGACCCCTGTGGAGATCCGTATATATCGTCTTCGAGTCCAGAAGCTTAACTAACCAAACCAAATATATTTGATAGTATCTTAGATTCAATATATATATCTCAGTTCGTTTATTTTGCGCCTTTATTCGTCGCTACACTAACATTGTTTTCCTGTCTGACATTTTTTTTAAGTGGCTCGGAAATATTTGAAGCTTAGATGAGGAAGATATTTTTAATGTGACCCACTCTAGATAAAAACATAGTCTGAGTCTGTTTATTAAATATTGATTTGTTTAAAGGAATTATTGAAATAATCTGGGAATACACGGACACTATGGTTGACGATAATAATTGGATTGAGGGTGAAGTTGAAGTTAGAGCACATTATGTTGATGACATTCCACAAAACTATACAGTAAGTATAACATTTTATTTTATCAAATAAAATTAAAACTTAATATATCATATCAGCTGAGATGGGTAGCTGTGAGTGGAAAGTCAAAAGTTGGTTGGGCGGCTGTTGATGATTTTAGTCTGATTAGAACTGATGGTTGTATGCTTAAACCATCAGGAGCACAACCTTCCTCAACTACTCCTACATCAACTCATCCTCAAGAAAGTGGTACGTTCCATTTGTATATCTTGAATGGAACTTTAAAAACATTTTGAAACAAAAAAACCTTTTTTTTATTTAGACTTAAGTTGTGACTTTGAAACCGACTTCTGTAGTTTCCAAGCTAATGGGGAAGGAAAATTTAACTTTACAAGAAAAACTGGGAACGATGCAAGTCCTGATGTTTGGGACGATCACAACGGAAACAAGGAGACATTTTTCCTTTTTGCTAAGTCAGATGGTAGGTTTCTGTACCTACAGGCAAAATCTAAAACTAAACTATAAACTTTACATTATAGGTGATCTTAATGAAAGAATGGCTTACCTTAAAAGTGATATATTTCTGGGAGATGATCATGAGATAGAATGTTTTCATTTTTGGTTCAATATTGATGGTTTTTTGGGCGAGGTATAGTAAATAATTTGTAGAGTTTTAATGGAATTTTTGATTAATTTGTTTAGGCTGAACCATTAGAAACATTGGCCATTGGCTTAGAATATGAATCTCCCCGAAATACAAGGTAAGTAAAATAAGTTTTCTATTTATTTATCATTACGGGCACAGAGTATACTCAGTAAACAGGTACAAACTGCTTATGTGTTTGGTCAAGCGTTTGACAATTTTCAGATTTAGGTGGTATAATATATTTTCAAAAGACAAGTAATAAAGCCCCAATAAAGTGTTTGACCTTAACCTAGACCATTTGAATAGACAGTATGTTTTTTAACCAAACTCTAAATTAGAAAATCATAATTAGCAATAAAAAGTCGCCAAATTGGGTGAAAAAAGTTGGATGGCACCCGATTAGGTGACAAAAAATCGCTTACAGAAGAAGTTGGTGACTGCTAATTTTTAACAAAAAATCACTTTTTAACCTAAAAAACTCCTATTTTAAACAAAATCGCTTATTTAAAAAAAAATATGTTTTCATTCAACTAAAAAATCTCTTATATTTAACAAAAAGCTTGCTTATTTTCAAAAGAAATTGTTTATATCTAACAAAAAAGTTGCTAATATTCAACCAAAAAATTAACTCTAAAACGCCTACTATCCCCCCCCCCCAACCTCCCTCCCTTGCTCCCTCCTGCATAACTTTTTAAGTAATTTTTTTGTTGTACTAAAATATCGAATTTGGTTTTGAAAATTAGAAAGACAGCTATTATATATATTCAAAAATTTTATTTTAAAAAAACTTAATTTTCACAATTTAAATTCAGCCTTATACACATTCATTCATTAAGTCATATGGCACACGTAAAATACTTTTGAATAAAAAGCTATGTAAAATGTCAAAAGAGGATAATCACCTGTCCCCCTGCATAATCTACATTCCAAGTAGCCGCACCGCACAACTCAAAATTTGTCTTGTCAAAGTCTAACACATATCGGCCACAATGCTTTTGTTTCCAGATCAGAAAACGCATTTTCACAGTAATAGGACGGGGAAGTTTAAGAAATTCTTACCTATATGAGAACTCATTTAGTATGGTTAAGGATAAGCCGCTCCCCCTCGGGAAAAAATTCCCCCGATCCTGAGCTTCTCAATTGTTTCCTCCAATAGAACAAATCTGTAAACTTTCAATCTTGATTTAAACTGACTAAATGTAAAATGAGGAACTGTAATGAGCAATAATGCTAAACAACAGCTTATTCATAAACTGGGTTTTTACTACCTGCTTGAGAATATACGATTTTAAATCGCTTATTAGGCGACTTTCAGAAGTTAGTTCTACTATTTAAAAACTTTTAAATGCAACTGATAATCATTTATTAAACTACTTTTTGTTCTTAATTTTTACATTTTGAGTTTTAGACGATTTAATGATGCAAATTAGGCGATTTTTAGTCGTCTATTATGAAGTTTTTTTACTTTTTGTCCTTAATATCGTAATTTTGAGATTTTGATTAAGAGTGCATAATACTGTGCTTAGGTTCCAAATTCCAAGTCTGGGCCAAATTACGAATTCTAACTTTCTTTACAAGCAATAATGTAGATTTATGAAAAATTTTACTCATGCATAGTTGCTCTTAACTATTTACCGTAAAAACAATATTGTTTGACAAAAATGACCGTTTCAGTAATTAGGTAAAAAATATTTTGTCACTAATATTTATATTATTATTAATTTATTTCCTATTAACAATTAAATGTGTGGTAAACTTTTTTGTTCAGTATCGTCTGGTTATATTCTAAGCCTACTGAAGGATGGATGGAAGGGCAGATAGAATTACGAACCATAGGCCATAATGGTTCCTTTGAAAACTGGAGAATTTATATTGTTGTAGACAAAATTTCAGATAGAAAGATTTTTATTGCTCTTGACGATTTTACATTCAGGTTGGTTCTGTTATTTTCAATGCTGTTTAGAATAAAAATTATATATATAATATATCATAATAATGATGCCAACCCTACAATCACCTTTAAAAACGAACAAAAATGTATTCCTCAATAAATGAATGAATGTAGGAACAACAATGACAATAACAATTTTCTTAGGGTTTTTAATGCTTGCTTTCAAACAAAGTAGTCATACCTCTTTACACAATCAGATAAAAATGATTTTGTTATTTAGGGGTCACTTTAAAATGTCATTCTTAAATTCTTATTGTGTAGACCCAGTGATATATGTGAGGTAATGCCCCCAGATGCATGGTTTGGATCTACAACTGCAAACCCAGGTATCATATTCCTAGTTCTACTTTAATGTGTGCTACCGAGTGAACCCTATTTACATGATCTTGTTTATGTTTTTTTTCTAATCGGGGGTCTTGCCTTTAGTTATAAATCTTCAAAAACGCATTTATCACTTGATACTTGTCAGGGATTTTTGCTGTTAAACGTTAGGCTTTTATAAACTTTTCGGTATAACGTTTTTTGAGCAATGTTATGTATGTATATCAAAGTGTCAGTCGGATTTTTTGTGTAATTATAGAAACCACCTCATTTAACTGTGGATTTCAATGTGAGGATGGAGGATGTGTTAAAGAGGTCAGTTTAAACAATGATATATGATAACTAATAACTTTGACTTATATAAGTTAATTTATAGAACCAGGTCTGTGATTTTGTGAGTGATTGTCACGATGCGTCAGATGAAAAGGAACTTTCACAATTTACAAATTTAATTAGAATATGTTGTTTCATGAACGATAAAAAACAATAATTGTTAAGCATTCAACGTTGTATTACGTGCTTTAATACTTCTAAAAACCAAGGACTCATTTAAATACTTATCAATACTTTGTATTGTATTCATTCTGCATAGTTTATTTAAAGTATTACATGCATATTTTCTCATAAAACTAAAAGAGCAGGGATTAAATTTGTCCGTGTAATTGTGGAAAATTAATTAGAATTGCCCTGTATCATACACCTTTGAAAACTGTTTGAGTGAGACTGGATCTGAGAATTGTGGATTTGAAGAAGTTCCAGTTGACAATTTAGATTGGAGTATTGCAACAAGTATGGTTTATATTTTAGAATTTAGAAATGTTTAAGTGTTTAAAGAATCAGATAGATAACTTGTAAGCATATTGTAGAAAATTAAAATGAAGTAAATCTTAAATGCGTTATAATTAAATAATAGATTGTCTAAGGAGATACAGTCAATAGTCATGGCCTTCAGCTCTTTTATACTTTGTGGCCGAGCGTTGAGAACTAGGTTGAGAAACTCCTTAAAACTCTTTTTAAATAACTAAGGTCTACGACATCAAGTTATGGGGCGTATTCAGGAATTTGTCCACGGGGGGTAAACCTGTGTTGAATTACTTGGGGAGGGGGGCTGATCAATTTACTTACAGGAAAAGACTTTAAAAAAGATCCTGACATTTTACCTTTATACTATATTGCAATTCATTTATTGTCTTTTATAGAAACAGACTCAGAGAGTTCAAGCCATCCAATCGAGCGGGACGGAAAGTTTCTTTGGATTAAAAAAAAGACAGATAATGTTTCCAACGAGCTGGCTAGAGTGCATAGTACTGAATATCAAAACAGTGCTTCATCATGCATCATCAGGTTGATATTTATATATGTAAATCTAATTAAATAATTCAGTAATGTACTTAAGATAATAAAGTGAGGTATCGCACTGCATTTATTCATGCTCATTTTAAACTTTTCTCCACTGAATAACTTTCTAATTATAATTCCAAATGTTCACTTGATTATACATTTAGATTCTTCTATACAATAAGCGAAGGGCTTAATGGAGCTTTTATCAAGCCTGGAATCCATTTGGTAGATGAAGCTCGAGATGTTTTTCTTGATTATCTGGCTGAAACTTCAGGATGGGAGGATAGAGTTATACAAATAGGCCGGAAACATCAGAAGTTTGAGGTGCAACCACATACAATTTTAAATAATAAGTAAGGAACGGAACTTTTTTTTGGCTTTTATTAATTCTTTTATACTTTAGGTTATATTTGAGAAGGATAAGGGAGATTATGATGCTGGAGTTGCTATCGATGACTTATCATTTGAAGGCTGTGCTCTACCCAGACCCGAAGAAAGTTGTCCTTCTGAACTTTTTCAATGCAACAACAAGGTAATATTTATACAGTGATAACCAACAAACTGAAGGTGACTTTAAAAATACTAGAGTGCATTTGATGTTGTTACAAATCAAATAGTAAGTAATTAAATCACTTATTAAGTGAAATGGGTCTGTTTACACTGCATAATTACTGTGCATCATGTTCATTGGACTATTTAAATAAAAAAATTGAGTGTAAAAGTCGACAGAGTTTTCTGGTTATCAGTGTATGTTTCATTAGAAAAGCATGTCAAGTTTACACAGTTAAAATAGAAATAAAGCCCTTTTCTGTTTCAAATCAGTATGTACCTCAGTACCCGTAACAGAAACTGTTTTTCATTTGAATGTAATTAGTTTATTACATATACATATCATAACTCTTATTGAACAAGCCAGCTAAAAATATTTTTCGGAAGAAAAAAAGCATAACAAGCAGGACTACCAAAAATTCCATCAAGCAACGACAGTGTTTCAAAACTTTATTTCTTTTCAAATGGCCTCACCACCAGTTTTGACTGTAATATAGATACACATGAGAATTGTTTACCCTATATTAACATCTTTGTATAGTGATTTTGTAATTTAAAAAATTATCTAGAACTAATTATACTTGTTAAGATATCAGCAATTATATCAATTAATATTACTGCAGAAATTCCAAATTTTCACAAAAAATTGTAATTATTCTTTATTATTTTGCATTTTTACCAAATTTTCTTATTTTAAAGGTTTCATGCACATTAGCACTGTTTTTAGGTTTGTATTCTGAATGAATATTTATGTGATGTGGCGGATGATTGTGGTGATCAGTCGGATGAAGACGAAACACATTGCAAGGAAAGCTTCTGTAAATATTTTTCTTCTTTATTTCTTCTATATTTTTTTTAATTATTGAATCTGCAATTTACATGTCTGTACGCTTTATTTAAGCTTAAAAACTAGGACTTTCATCCCACCACTTTCGAAGATGGGGGATTTGGTTTGTTCACAACTCAGGAGGGAGAATTATTTCACTGGGAGATAGGTAAAAAATTTGCAAAGTCTTAGTGAATATATATTTATATTGACACTCCTAGGTAGTGGTAGCACTGATAACAAAAGAACTGGGCCACCTTTTGATCACACATTATTTGATGTCACTGGTTGTTACGTTTACATAAACAGTGAATACCAGGGGGAAAATGCTATTGCAGAATTGGGTAAGTTATAGAAAATGATAAAAAAAAAATTTTGTATTAATTGATTTAAATTTAGTAAGTGTCCCCTTCCTTAAAAGTGATGATGGTAAAGTGTGTGGCATGGTGTTCTATTCACATATGAATGGTCCTCTGGTTGGAAGACTTTCTGTCTTACTCAGGTTTTTTTTATATTTTGTTAAAATAGATATCTTCATGTGTTTTGTAACACACAGTTAATTTCATACATGCTAGCATTTTTATTGTCTTAAATAAAATCAGATAAAAAATTTTCAGATTTCTACTTTTCAAGCATTGGTCATTTCTTTATAAAAAGCTAGTTTATTTTCATTGAATCTCGCTAATATAAAAACGTATTTTAGCAGGTCCATGTTAAACCAGCTCTTTACAATGGAATTGAATTAACTCTCAGAAAAATTAAAACAAATGTAAATGTCGTATACTTTACATATTTTAAATTATAATCAAATATTCTAAGTTTAAAAAATCAAAGGTTTTCACTATCAGATTGCAAAGATATTGGGATGGGAATGAGACAAAATTTCAATTCCGAATCCGCTTTCAATGAAAATGCTGAGGGTTTAAATTTCCATTGGTTCTAATTTTTCTAATTTAGACTAGACGATGATAATGAGATAGAACTTTTTGGTATTGAAGGAAGCCAAGGAAATATCTGGAAACGAAACAAAATTGAAATCACAAATTCAACAATCTTTAATAGCTTTAGAATTGTTTTCAAAGCAACGATTGGGGAGAGATATATGGGTGATATTGCATTGGATGATATTGTTTTTGATCCAAATTGCAGGTTTGACATATTGTTTCAATTCTTTTCAGATCAAATATTATATGAATTTCTGCTCAAATATAAACAATAAAAAATTAAGCTTTAAGTAAATTAGAAACAGAGCAACATTTGCTGTGTCAAACATTGATTTTTAAAGAATATTAAGCAATTTTTCATATCTAAGCATTTATCTTTACCAAAATAAAGATACATTCAACAAAAATCAATACTTTTTGTAAATGGTTTTGCTTTTTTGACCAGAAAGTTTTTGTTCTTTAAATTTGTTATTGCAAATCACAATCAATTCTAGACCTGGATGTTCCAATGATCAATTCAGCTGTCCAGATGGAAAATGTTTGGACAAGGAAAAGATCTGTGACTTTAGGAGGGATTGCATGGGAGGAGAAGACGAAGCAGAATGTCCTGATTTTTATGATTTTGAACATTGTCAATCTTTAGAAGAGTGTCATTGGAAGAATCCGGTTCCCAACAGTATCAACTGGGTAATAAGCGGAGTGCTTCAGGATGTTAATGGTCCAAACTTTGATTTTGAAAATAAAACAGATGGGCACTTCTTATATGTATCGCATGGAGAAAAGGGCGAGTCTATTGCAGAGATTGAAAGTTCTCCCTACAGGAACACAAATGTTGATTGCTACTTGTCCTTTTACTTGTACATGTCCTCGCCAGATATTAAAGATTATGTGTTCCCAATGATGAAGCATGTTGCCCTCGGAATGTCAACAGAGCTTGATAGGTTTGACCTAAACAGCATAACAGATGGTATGTGGACTAAAGTTGTAATTGGGCTTGGAAGACATCGTGACTTGTTTACTATTGTATTTGGTGTTGTACATAATGCCGATGAGTACAACGCTGGAATTGCAATTGATGATATTCAATTCTTTGACTGTGCTGTAAAATCTCCTCAAGAAAGCTGTTATGATGACCAGTACCATTGTGAAATAAACAAAGCTTGTGTATTTAAGGCACAACTTTGCGATTTTGCAGACGATTGTGGAGACAACAGTGATGAGGTGCTAGAAGTATGCAAAGATTATACAGTTTCCAACTTTGAAGACCCAGAACTTCCTTTTGGATTCTTTAAACAAGATCATCCTTCAGCCGATTTTCAATGGAGTAGAGGGAATGGAACGACAGTTAATAAACAAACCGGTCCCCCGTTTGACCATACCCTTTTCAGTCCGGAGGGACATTATCTTTTTATAGCATCAGAAAATCAAAATTCTAATGAAAGAGCATATTTGATTACTAATCTTATAAAACCATCAACACAAGATTGTAGTATTCGATTCTTTGTTCACCTGCATGGAAAAGGACTTGGAAATCTTACTTTATATTCTGAGTAAGTTTATAATAAATAACAAATATATTATTTTCATTTAGAGTTATCTTAATTACTTTATTATTAAACTAGGAGCGCTTTGGGTGAACTAACTTTGCTCTGGGTCTCATCTGAGCAAGCAGAATATGTGGACGTTAATGTTTGGCAACGGGTGACTTATTCTTTGGAATCTGCATCTGAATTCCGGATAGTATTGGAAGCTTCTGTTGGGAAGAAAGGAGAGGGCGATATAGCGATTGACGACGTTTCATTTACCCCTGCCTGCAAGTAAGATTTCAACATTATGGTTAGTTGTCAATAATATATTGAAATTTGAATTTTTAGATTTTTTGATGAACCAACTACCAAAACTACTGAAGCCACAACAGAACACCACACCACAGAGCATCATACAACAGAACATCACACAACAGAGCGTCAAACCACTACACACTTCACAACCGAGCCTCACACAACTCATACAACGGAAAGAATAACTACAGTTGCGACTGCAGCTCCATTCGATGAAAATAAGACACCTGTCACAGTTATTGCTGTAGTTGCTGCCTGTTTGATAGGTATTATTTGATTTAATATTCAATTGTAAAATAACATTTAATATTAAAATAATTAAATTGCATAAATATCTCTAAATAATTAACATGTAATGCATATCTTTTAGCTATCATTCTTGTTTCTGCTGGAGTGTACATCGTTAGATCCCGAAATCTTAATCTACCGAGATTGCTTGCATTACAATCCTTTTTCAACCCAAACTATCAACGAATGGAAGATAATAATATGGTACTAATATATTTATTTAATAATGTTTTAAAATTTGAAATTTCAGGTTGTTTCTTGTTTTAGGTTAGTTTGAAAGATTTGCGATCAAATCAAGCTTAACACTATGAATTCTGCCGAGTGATTGGAAGGAGTGGAAAGAATGAGATAAAAATGAAAATTGCCTTGTTCTGGTTTTAAAAGAATGTTCTAAATTATTATGTTTAAGTTGAGCAATAAAAATATTATGCAAATATTGCTATAGAAATTTTGTGAATTTTCACAAAAAATATAGAAGACTTCTTGAATCATCCTAATCATTTTCAATACATCCAGTTTTATTTTATTAACGTCAAATTTGTCTGCTTTTTAACCATTGCTGCATAGAAACTCTTGTTTTAATTAAACATCGAGCGATTTTCGGTTAATTGCTAATTTATTTCTAATTATCAGAATTTTAAATTGCTCACGCCTCTTATTTTCGACGACTTATTGCTTCTATATCTTTGAAAAAGAGAAAATTTTGCAGATAAATATCAGTTATGTCAGATTCAGTCAGATTTTTTTGGAATAAAACCTTTTTAATGAACCAAATACTCGCCACAAATTCTAATTTTCTGACTTCTATATCTTTGCAATTAGAGGTTTCAAACTACAAAGGAATTGAGTTTTTGCCACAACCTCAAATTTTCTAATTTCTATATCTCTGCAACCAGTTGGTATAAACCTTTGATATTTCAAACGTAGATTTATTTGATCTAACAGAATTAAAAGTTTGAAATATCTAAGGTCTACGACATTGGGTTGCCAAGATATAAGGATAAGAATATTGGAGTTTGTGGCAAAAACTCAGTTCCTTTTGCTTTATCTCAAAGTCAAATTTTGAAATATAAAAGGTTTAAGTTATCATATTATAAAAATATAAATGGTTTAAAAAATTACAGTTTGAGGTGAGTGTTTATTTCCGTTTTTTAACTGTACCCAATGTACGGCGCTCTAAATCATTTAGGTAGGATGAATGTTTTTTTGCATACTTTCCCGCATGATAGTGCTACTGCTACAACTAATAACTTATTCACTAAAATATTGAATTTAATCACCTTAAACTATCAAACATTAAGATTAAATAACATTGATTTGATCATACATAACTCTTTAAAGTAGAAAGTTATTAATATTTAACCAGATTTCCTTTAAGGGTAGATAAAAGGTAAAATAACCAGTATTGGAAAAGGAACTCACCGTGGAGAGAAAAAGAAGAAAATTTACACTTTATAGAAATCATAAATGTTATTGAGAATAACAATTTTTTCAGAGACTCTAAAGGGGGGGGGTGGAGCCTCCCCCTGCACTGCTCTAGAGGAGCAAGGATACATATTTTTTTGGCGATTTTTATTTTGTAATAAATTTTTAACTAAAACCTTATATATATCTATTAAATATTACAAATTGCAATTCCCTAACAATATTAATATATCTGTTTCATATTCATATCAAATAAACATTTTTTCCACCCAGCTTAAATGACAGGATATTTTTTTTACAGCTCCTACCAAAAAAAACCATTTTTTACAGATTTTTTTACTGTTTTTTGTAAGAAAGATTTTTACTTTAAAGACTGTACATGGGGGTCGTCAATCCCTTCCTAATTGCCTCTCTACAAATAGAATTTTCTAGTATTATACGTTATTGCAACTATGAAACTATGCATTCCAATCTATATTACAGAAAGCAGGTCCATTAATTGGTTGAACAGGATATCCACGTTGCAGCATTCTACATTCCATTTCCTATACAGTGTTTAGTGTATTTATAGATTTAAACCAATATATTGTTACTAAATCATCCTCCAAGAATCCCAACATCTTTGTTTACAAAATAAGTAATTTCAGCTGTTTTTTGGAGCAATACGTTATAATGCAAAAATGGACTATTTTAATTTTAACATAAACATAGCTTATTAACGAGGTATAACAATTATGGAATTTGTTTGTGAAAAGATTATTTACTTATTTAAAAACAAAATATAAACCTGAATTCTTGATTTTGCATTTCCAAGATCCCTCACATCAGCTGGGGACCACAGCCTTTCTGCCACAGCACATGCCCGAGGCCAAAGTCTAAATAATATCGATGAAATCGAATCAAAATGTCGAATTTGGGAGTTAAGCTAAGTTTATTTTGTATAGAGGATAAAATCAGTTCATGTAAAAACAAATATTCTGATCTTTCTGATTTGGTTGTTTCCTGATTTACCTTGGTGTAAGATTAATGCTGTTTACGAACTCGTCCCACATTGAAGCTTCTCCTCCAACTATTAAACTCTTCTGTTCAGCATCTCCGTAGAAATCTAATGGCTCTGTAGTGTAGTACTTTGTCCAATCACTTCCATAACTTAAAAACAAAGAGAATAGAATATATATTAGAGAGGAATTTAGGAATCTCTCAGTATGAATTTTTTCAGTCCCTTTCAGCCTGAAAGGGAGTTCAAAGTGTACAAATCATGTAAATGTTCACAATTATTTGCAATAGAGTACATTAATACAGTATGTTCCCTAGACTACCCATTTCAACTTCGAATTTTATATAAAGCTGTTAAATAAACTTTGTAATGAATTAGGTGAATAAAAACCATCATTTGATTTATAGTTATAACGGAAAATCATCGTTTGTAAAGTGAAAGGAATAGAGTCTATGTGAAATGATCATTGGTCAATTATGAAACCAGCCTATTTCATAATTTGGTTTTCTTTTAACATTAATTTCAGATTTTCTATAAAATGATATTCAAGGGCCCAACAAGTTATATAGCATAAATATGTGAAGTACACCTGCACTATGGAAACAGTACAACAAAATGGCCGTTTTACACTTTTTTCTAGCAAATTCCCCTCCATATATATATTCTATTCTCTTTGCTTAAAAGTTTTAAATTTGTGGTATATTATTTTATACAATAATATATGAATATTAATAAATCAACCAGCTGATGTCGTAAACCTTTAATGTTTCAAACTTTATAGATTATTTGATCTGACAGAATGTATAGTTTGAAATATCTAAGGTACCCGGCATTGGGTTGCAGAGATATAGGAATTAGAAAATCAGAGTTTGTGGCAAAGACTAAATTCCTTTAGGTAAATATTCTGTAAAGTTATCCCTAATTTTTAGCAGAATGTAGAAATGTTATTTGTTGCTAAAACTTTGTAGAAACATTTTTGTTTTGGGGGGAAAGGTATAGCCGGCCGGATATTTCCTCTAACATTGTTAAAGAAAAAGGTTTTTGAAGTATGTGTGTTCTGTGTATGCATGTGCAGTAATAATTATTTAACTTGATGTTCATACCTAATATAGTTAAGGTACCAAGGTGAAGAGAGAATTACTCTGTATCCAGCCTTAGTTACTCTAGATAACTCCCACTCCCACTGTCCCTGTGTTATGTAAGTGTTAACTTGTTCATTTGTTCATTATGGTCTAATTAGTTTGTTAACCTAACTAACCTATTGTCTTTTTTTTTCAATTTTCACACCTTCATTTTTTCAGGTTTCAATTATTTAAGCTTTTGTTAATCGTAAATGTCAAACTTTAAATCGAGTTTTACTTAAGATTTGTTTGATAGTTTCATTCATTATTCACATATGTTTTTCCACGTAATTTAAAAAATTAGAAAAAATATGGAAACCCTAGATTAAAAGTTTTTTTTAAAACTTACATAAACATTTAAGAAGTTAATTTACATAAACATTCAAGAAGTTAATTTACATAAACATTCAAGAAGTTAATTTACATAAACATTCAAGAAGTTAAGCTTTGAAAAGTTTCGAAAAATAATAAAGTTTTATTAAAAATCTACACTTACTTTCCAAACGTTTATAATCGTATCATCTTTTACTTGAACTCCATTGTCAAATACTTCTTGCCAAACTAAAAAAAAATTTTAAACTTTAATGAGAAATTGGACGGAAGAAACTTAAATCATGTTTTGTTCGGTTACAAGTGCGCAACGTCCAATGTGCATTGTGCATTCTAAGTTTTGAGATTATGTTCCCTTTTTCTTTGTGGCAAAAGGAGGGGGCCATCACTTCCCCCCCCCTCTACCCCACGGATCTGATTACCTATGTAGCCATTCTTGGTTGGAAAAGAGCTGACTATATCGAGAAGCTTCTTGATGTATATACTCTCCAGCTTGGTATAGTCATCAGTCAGGTTCCATTTATTCATAAACTCAGTTATCTCAGGATTACTCCGCCTTAGATATATAAAATGAGGATAAAAGATTCTATGGAACCATCTGCTGGTACTTTTTTTCAATGTGGTTTAATTTAAACATGGTTCAACTAGTGACTCAACTGCACTGCGTTTTTTTAAAGTCAGCCATTATTGCTGTAATTTATGTCAGAATATCTCTAATTAATAAAATTGCACATCAGATAAAGATTAACAATTTAAAAAATATATTTATCTTACCAACACTTAAAATCAACCTCGTCTCCACCAAGGTGTAGGTATTTGTCAGGAAAAACCTTGATAAATCAATATAATTAATCAGAATGATACTTCAATCATGTGAAATCTTTAAAACCAGAACTAAATCAAGTTTTCATGATTTGTCATGTTTGTATTGTAATTCATCTTACCTCTGTACGCAAATATTTATTAGTACTTTGTTTCAATTATTTATCTACCTGAGTAACTTCTTCGAAGAACTCCTGAATAAAAGCGTAAACTCTTTTTTTTGTTGGATTCATTGGCCCATAGCCCCCTGTCTTTACCCCTGACTCATCATAACACCTGAATTACATTAAACGTAAAGGAATTGCGTCTTTTTCACAAACTCTGATTTTCAATTCCCTATATCTCCGTAACCCGATGTCGTAGACATTAGATATTTCAAACTATGAACCCTGTTAGATTAAATATTCAAAGTTTGAATTATCAAACGTTTACATTATCAGAATGCAAGGGTATAGGGATACAAAAACTTATGTTTGTGGCAAAGACTCAATTCCTTTGTGCAATTATATCTTTGTAGTTGTCTGAAAAAAATATCGATATTTACAATTTAAGAAAATAACCCAATTTAGACAGAAAATTGTTTATTGGAACATTCAGAATAAATAGCGGCTTGAAAAGCAATGTTCATAAGCTTAAATTGTGACTAGAAGCTAGTAAAAGCTTAGTGATAAAAATTTACACAGGAGGTATTAAAGATCAAAGCTTTTTTAATGAATCTTGATTTATTAACTTTGGGTTAAAACTAGTTGTGGCACTTTAAAAAAGAAATCCTCTAAAAATTATGGCTGAACTTTTTAAAGGTTAAACTTCTTTATTTTGTACTCCCATATTTGTCTTTTTTTTGGAAATTTTAGGGCAAAACAGAGATTCTAAAATATGAAATTAAAGGGGTATAATATAGACTTAGTTTAAATTAATTTTAAGTTACCTTACACTTAAGTATAATTTACAGGACTGTAATTGATATGTGACCTTTCATTTAATGAGTGGCATCGCTGATTTAAAACGGTAACCTTTAAAGTTTTGTCTTTATCTTGAACTAGCTTGGGAACCCAGGAGGGTGCCTATAGTTACTCCCGCTGTTACCCGCACTTGGTCAATTTTACCAGTGGCCGAATTTAAAGAATTTAAGCGGCGGTTTAAATTTTGGCCGCGGCTTAAATATGTTTGGTTCCACTTGAAATTGTATCAAATGTTTCAAGATTTATGCCGGCGCTTAATTTAAACCGGGTTTTGGCGGATTTAAACCGCGGCTCAAATTCTTTAAATTCCATCTCATGAAACTATATTTTGCCATAAAAGTTAAGACTCTCAACTTAGAATCTCAAAGTTAAGCTTAGAACAATACCGTGGCTCTCCTGTGTTCCCCAGTCAAAAATTCCCTAATTTAGAAACTTGTTTCTTTTCCCCGGTCCCCCTTTTAATTTGGGTGAGTGCAATGTAGAATGTAGATTCCCAGACATCCTTATTTCATACTTACTCTGCTAGAAGTCCAGGTTGGCCTGCTTCGAAGGATTGAGTATGACCAGGAGTATCGAACTCGCTTACTACCCTGATACCTCTCAACCGAGCATACTCAATAATATCAGCCACGTCTTGTTGAGTGTAAACCGCGATCGTTTCGTGCCATGCACCCTTTTTACTAGCAAATAATTAGTTGTCATTAACTCAAATGTCAATTATTTTTAATAATAAGTCTCAGAAAAAACGAGACCATTATAACTATTAATTACTACTTAACCGGGAGATTAAGGGAGGATAATTAAATTGAGGGGAAAACCACTTAGCCGAGGGCCTCCAAGACCTTTTTGGGGTTCTAAACCTCACGAGCGTAGCGAGGANTGATGACAGCTCAGTAAAGCTGTATGTACATGTTTTGATCTTTCCTAGATCAAATATTAAACTAGGTGTAGTTTACTATTTTATTCAAAATTGATTGAGAGAGCGATAAATGTAAAAATAAAATTAAATTAGAGAACTATTTATTTGATAAATCTGTATGGATCACAGGGAGGATAATTACTTATCCTCCCTGTAAAGAGGGAGGATAAGTAATTATCCTCCCTGTAAATAGGGAGGATAAGTAATTATCCTCCCTGGAAATAAAAAAGTAGGGAATTTAAGGTTGGTTATTTCGTTGAACAGGAGATTAAATATTTATTTTAAAATGTTAATCTACCTAAAATCTTAAATCAGAACATTAAAAAAATTTGACTACCCGTTTCAGTTTTTTAATGTGTTTTTGAACAATAACTCGGAAGACTTGGAGACAGCGTGTGAGAACCAAAAGAATAGATTATACATAGAGTGGAATTCAAACAATCCCTTGGTATGAATTTTGTCAGACCCTTTCAGCCTGATTATACTTTATTATAATTAAACAATAAAAAACTAACCTTACCAACCGGATATTCAGTATGACCCCATCTAATATCAAATAAAAAAAGAAATCTATCAAAAAAAATTTTTAGTTAAAGGAAAATGCCTTAAAAAGAAGGGGTGGGGGGGGGGGCGAGGGTGTATTCTTTGCTGTCCCTTATAAATGCCTCATAATTTACAGTTGAAATAACCTACATTTACGCTTAAGGGAGAGGCATTCCCCCCCTTAATTAGGCTGGGGGGGGGCTGAGTCCCCTCCCTAGTTGCCCGCCTGTGGCTGTCCCAAAAAGCAAAACAATTAGAAGACAACTCTAGCAAGGGGATTCTAGGATTAAGCCAGGAGAGGGGGGAAGGGTAATAATATTTTTTCACTCCTCCCCCCTTCTTGTCAGGAATTTAAAAAATGATGATATCTCCCTCATTGTTACTCAGATATCGAGCTAGGTTGATGAACCAGTAAAGGAAAAAATTTCAGATTTGAAAATATCAAAATATTTTTTTTTTCAAATACAATCACATCGCAAAAAATGCAAAACTTCCCTGCAAGATTCATGCAATATGCTTCTTTTTGTCAAGAGCAATTTAGATAGATATTTTGTCTGCAGTTTTGCAATATTTTTCTTTTCCTTTGAGCTATTACAAATACAAAAAATGGCATCAAAAAGGAAATGCCGTTTAAAGCTTAAAAAAGGCAATTTCAGGCTTTAAGCTTGACGCTCAATCTGAACCCACAGCCTTACTTATTATCGAGAAACTAAAGTGTGTAATTAGTCATTAATTTCTGGTCCAAAAAATGCCCCCTCCCCCCTTTAGCAAATTCCAAGCTACCTGCGTGCCAAAACAAAAGTATTATCTTTTTTAAACTAAACAATTTTTTTTTTATTTATTAAGTGTTCCATAGAGAAAATGTTTTTAGTCCATTCTTAAAAATTAAAATAGAATTTAAACATCTATACATTCTACATATAGAAGCTTCCCGCAAATTTTCCAGGGTTGCTTCCCCCCTTTCCTTTTCAAATTGATTTTTATCGAAGCCTATGCTGAAATGAACCCGGGAATGCATGACAGGCTATCAGAGAAAATCAAATGATTTTTAAGAAAAGTTTTCTATAAAATGATGGTCCAGGGCCCAAAAGGTATAGCACAAATATGTGAAGTACACATGCAGTATGGAAACAGTACAACAAAATGGCCGTTTTATACTTTTTTCGAGTAAATTCCACGCTATGTATAATCGGTGCTATGGAAACGCCTCAACACGGAAACGCCTCAACACGGAATCGGACCCAAAAAAAACGGAAACCTCCCCAATACAACTTTTTCTGAAAATCGGAAACGGACCCAAAAAATGAGGAAACGGACCCAAAAAAAGAGGAAACGGACCCAAATAAAGGGGAAACCGATCAACAAACTGAGAGTTTAAAACTTTTTCTGAAAACCGGAAACTGACCCAAAAAAAAGAGGAAACGGACCCAAAAAAAAGGGAAACGAATCAAATGTAAATATAGCGGAAACCGACCCAAAATATTCGGAAATCCCTCAACACTTTTTAGTTTTTGAGGGATTTCCGATAATTCTTGAAAAAAGAAGGAAACGGACCCAAACTCACTTTTGGGTCCGTTTCCGTGTTGAGGCGTTTCCGTGTTGAGGCGTTTCCATAGCACCGTATAATCTATTCTCTTTGGTGAGAACGGTTGATAATGCAAAGCATTATGAACAATATGAAGATCCCAAGACGAGACCACTTTGATCAATTTTAAATCACAGGTAGCGAATTATCGATACGTTTTTTAATGTAACAATTTGGGTTTTTTTGTAGAATATTTTACTAGGTTTGAACCAAATAAGGTTATTTTTCTTAGGGTATATTACTATATCTCTACATCATGTTATCTTTCTGTCAGAGCAAATGTGTTCAATTTTCAACAAATAAAGGAAATCGCTTGCAAAAAAGTTTGTGCACATTTTTTCGTTTGGATTACGGTAAATTTTTGCGCAAACATAAGACCTTTTTAGTATTAATAACATTGCGCACCGTTTGCGAAATATGCAACCAAATTTGTGTGAAAATTGTCTACCGCTGAAAACCCTAATGACAATATAAATTAAATTTCCAACATCTGAAATATGCAGTTTTAGTCTGTAGGGATTTACAAATTATAAAAGGTCGTCTTTTTAGACCCAAACAACCGGTCAAACATGTTTGTATTTTATCAAACATTCTACTGGGTTTCTTGTTATTAGTGACTTGGTAATGAAATAATCTCTATTTTAGGCCCAAACAACCGGTCAAAAATGTTTGTATTTTATCAAACATTCTACTGGGTTTCTTGTTATTAGTGACTTGGTAATGAAATAATCCTTATTTTAGACCCAAACAACCGGTCAAACATGTTTGTATTTTATCAAACATTCTACTGGGGTTCTTGTTATTAGTGACTTGGTAATGAAATAATCTCTATTTTAGGACACCCAGAGAGTAAAATCTAGTTTTCATTTACCTAAGGTCTGGAAATTTGATCGAAACGTAAGGAAACGAAGGGTCATCTGTGATGTGCCAGTGGAACACGTTGAATTTATTCATCTCCATCAAATCAAGATTATCCTTGAAAAAAAAAATCCGTATCCAAAATTTTTAGTCTTCGTTCAAATCTTGATAGAATTACGAGCCTTTTTTTTACAATTTATAATCACAATACAATTAGTTGATTTGCTGTTCTAGTAAAGAAGGTTACAAATGAATTCATGACTAATGAATATATTGTGATTTGCTGAAGTTGATATTACCTTGATTACTGATTTAGCAATGTAGTGTCTAGATGTATCTATGAGTACTCCTCTGTGAGAAAAGCGAGGAGAATCCATAACTTGACTTCCATTTACCAGATACTTAAATAGGATCATATAATTTGTTTTGTATCATTAAATGAGATTGTGAAAGTACATATAATATACAGGATGTCCCAAAAAAAACTGTGCAGAAGGGGTATTAGTTACTGAGGAACAATTTTTCTGTTTAATTTTTACAATCAAGGTGTTATTAGAAAGCTCAATATTTCAGTTATTAGAAAGCTCTATATTTTAGTTATTTCGTAATGTAAATTTTTCCTTCTAATTTAAAGATTTCGAATTTCTTTTTTTAACTCATAAGCTGTTAGTCTTAGGTTTCATTTTGAACTAAAACTTCGGAATCAGCGATCATTACTTTTGAAGCGAGAGCATTCTAAAAATAAAATATGCATTAAAAAACCGAAAAGATAGCTACAGAGGTACCTCCGGTGGATTAAAAAAATATTTGCGTGCGGCGCCACTTAAACATGCAATATTAAGTTCATTTAAAAATTTTTGTTTCTTCCCGGCAAAAGTGTAAAAGTGGGCACCACATTTCCAACTCGCACCACTTACCATGTCGGGGGTTTGACATAAAAATTACTTAAACACCGTAATAAAATTCTAGGAGGGGATGGGGATGATAGAAAATTCGACACACTTTGTGCCCATTATTTCAATAGAATACGGTCGTCTTCGTTCAACCTTTTATCAACAATTTAGCTAAAGATGTAGTGTATTTTTCGACCTACGCCAAATCCGCTATACTACACATCCGACCTACTAGCATGTGGTTTTACAGCAGCTATATGGACTTGTGGCTGCAGCGCCCGGCCCCCTATCCTGGCCGCGGTGCTCGACCCCTAACCTGTCCATAGCTACAGCGCTCGGCCCAGAAATTGTCTTAACCTAACCTAACCCTCAAATAATACAAAAATAAACTACTGGCGTAGGTCCGATATTGCAGTAGGTCTGAAAGTTAGTAGGTCAGAAGTTCAGTAGGGGGAATGTTGCGTATAGACGATGTAACATTACCGCTAAAGAATTTGTAATTTGTCAATATTATGATGAATACATCTCTGAAAATATTTTTAGATTTTTGTTCATTATAAATTACAAAATCCCAAGCGACGTTTCTAATCTAACGACTTAAAAACATCACCTTTTATTCCATATGTTTTACTGATAATAACAAATTGTTCTATTTTTAATGTTCAAACCTGTAGAAGAGGACCAAAAATTGACAAATTTTATAGAACAAATGATGTATTAATTACTAGGATATCCCAATATACCTGTACAAAATCTGGTCCTCCAACCGAATCAGATCCATCTACCGAACCAAATCCTTCAACCAAACCAGATCCTTCAGCTGCACCTGATCCTCCAATCAAACTAGACCCTTCAACCAAACAAGATCCTTCAACCAAACCAGATCCTTCTACAAAACCAAATCCTTCAACCAAACCAGATCCTTCTACAAAACCAAATCCTTCAACCAAACCAGATCCGTCACCAAACCAGATCTTTCAACCGAACCAGTTTCTCCAACCTAACCAGTTCCTTCAACCAAACCAGATCCTTCAATTGAACCAGATCACTCTACTAAATTCCAGATCCTTCTACCAAACCAGATCCTACTACTAAACCAAATCATTCAACCAACCCAGATCCGTCAACCAACCAGATCCTTCAATCAAACCAGATCCCTCTACTGAACCAGATCCTTCCACCAAGCCAGATCCTTCTAATTATTTTAAAGCATTACTCTGGCAATTTCTGTACTCCGACAGCTTATCCCCGTACTTCATTCTAATTTATATACCTGTACAGTATCCCCATACTCCATACTAGGATACACCAGTTGACTAAATGTTTCTAGCCCCCGGAGTATCCCCCAGACTGTAAAGGCAATAATCTTCGCCTTTCCAGGGTCATCCGGAGAGTTTATTTTAACCTCGTCTGTAAAATTATATATGATTATACATGATTCCTGTAACAGCAGGATGATAAGTTAATTAACATCCCTTGGGACAAATAAGTAAAAAAAATTCCCCTCTCTGCTATGTAAGTTTTTGTGAAAAAAATAATGCATTTTCATCCTTCAAGACGATACACCTCTGTAAAATTCCTTTTCCAGGAAATAAAAATTTTACTTCACCCTTGGTAAAGTAAAATTCTCTTAATTTTCCTGTAAAGTATTGTAAATAACTATACTATAATCTTCTATAGTATTGTAAAGTTCAAAATGTAGGTTTTCCAAAAACTGATGAAAGATACATAGAATTAAATTAAAAAATTGTCAATCAACTATATCATTATTTCTTAGTAAAAAATAAAAAAACCTGTTCTTTCATACGACGATTTTTTAAAATTTGGAATAATTCCAATGATAAAAAATTACTTACAATGTTCATCCATATCTAAATGCGGTAGTTTCTCACAGCCTGCCTTATTATTCATCAATATCTCCACAGAGTCTAGATATCCCCTGTAGGATGGATCGGTTCGTACCTCTCGTCGTGCATCCCGCCGTCTTTTCCTTCTAAATAATTTTATCTACATCACGTGTTATAAAATTCTTTGTTTTTATGATAACATTCTAAACAAGGCAACATGTATCAGTGACAGTGTAATGTCTGTACACTGTACAATTACAGTGTGCAGTGTACATTGTTCTTTGCATAACCAGCATAGGATTTTATTCGGCTGTGTTAAGTTGTGAATGAAGGTTATGCAGTGCGGTGCAGTGTGCACTGTTAGTAGAAACACATATATTTTTTTTTATTTTCGATTTTGTCGAAAACGTTTCGAAATTTCGACCATTTTGTTCAAAATTGCTAAAAGAATATTAGGGATGTACAATGTAAAAGTTTGTGAGATATTCTTCACATTCTGTTTATAACGTGTTTCATGTTTTATATGGTAAATTATACATTGCATAAATTAGACTATACCCCAATAACAAATTGTAATCTTTATCATCACGAAGATATAAATTTTTACAAAGAATTCTTCCCCAAACAAATGTTGAAAATTTCCATTCCAAAGTTTGATTCAAAGTCCATTGTCACAATTTGTTCTTGAGAGTTTTGATCATATTAGAGAAATTTGAACAGATCTTGGTGGCATACAAACTTTAAGGTTTTGTTTAATAATCAATAAAATCCTTTGCAATCATAATTTTTTATAATACAGAACCACCGTTAAATACCTTTCTTTCTAACACGATAAATATTATTACTATGTAATTTACATTATACATTCATAAATCCAACAATATAATTATTGGCAAAATAACTTACTTATTAGAAGAATCTAAATAGCTGACAATATCAGTAGCAGAAGGAGGGAATACTCGTTTGTAATATCTAATTAAAACAAAACCATTATTATTTATTCTTAGGGATTTAATTAAACGCTTGTACTCAATGCAAAATTATCATTTTTTGTTTTCAAAATCAAAGATTTCTCTGAAAGCCAAAATGTCAGCGTCAAATTATTGTCTACACAGTGTTCACCCAGAAAACCTGGTTTGTGTGTTGAATTTCGTGGATTTTCTGTTACTTGCAACCAACGCTATTCGGGAAAAAATATAAAACATAAAAATGCATTTCCAATTTAATCTTTCTATCAGATCAATCTATCTATAACGAAACAAAACGTCGTCGTTTTGTTTCCTCTTTTTAAGTCTGATGTTTTATGAGTCTGAGCAAAACACTACGTAAATTATATCTAAAAGTTGCGATTGTTCTTGGCTTTAGGATTATTTTTTGTGAGAATTAGTTTCTGATGATTCTTGTTTTCATTATCGAACATATCCCTATTGAGAAACAATTGCCGGATTTTAGCTCATGTCGCGTTTTCAAAACATATCCCGATTTTGAGACAAATACAGGAATTCATATCAATGTCACTTTTTAAGCATTTATACGGATTTTTTGATAAGGTAAAATATAAACAAAAAAGAAAATAAAACTGTTCTTTTATAATTAAAAAATCATTACAGCATTGAGAAATCTAATATTAATATCATTAGTTCTTGCAATATAGATTTAACTAGAAATGCGGGAAACTGTTTGCTCGAAAATAAATCATCGATATTCTCTAGTTTAACAGATAAAATGTGTAAACTTAGATTCTAGAAATAATTCAGAAGTTAAGGGGGGGAGGGCACGAAACGTATTACTCTCCGGGAAATTTAAACAGTGTATAAACATAACTTAGCATTGTCCTAGGAGGCTGATTTTTTTGCATTCGAGCTTAAATTCTGTATATTATATGCATTTTTTGGTTTTGAACGGACATGAGCAAAGTGCGCGCGCGCTTTTTTTGTGAAAAATACGACTTTTTTATAGTAAAAACAATCCTAACTTCATTAATTGCACTTGAACATTTATCCTGATACTCTTGATAAAAATATACGCTCAAAAATTCACCTCCAAAGCCTTAAATGTTCGCGCAGGCACGCAATAGGAGAAAAAAATCTTTGAATACTTATTTGCTAAGTTTGGCCTAAGTCAGAATAAAAGTAGCATAAGATACATCAAACTATAGCAAAATTGGGACAAGGAATTCATTTCCGAGGTCAAAATAGACATTGGAGCCTTTTGACCGGCGCGCAAGTCATCTTAGCACAGATTTTACATACTGTATGTCGATTTATAGGTAATTGGGTACGAGTAATTCATTTCTGAGGTAAACATAAATATTGGATCATTATGACCGGCGCGCTAGTAGCCGGCAGTTTCATTATGGGTTATCTTAGCACAGATTTACATGATTTATGCATGCGAGCTTAAATTATGTATATTACATGCATTTTTGGTTTTGAACAGATCTGAGCAAAAGTGTGCGCGCGCGCTTTTTGTGAAAAATACGACTTTTTTACATTAAAACAATCTTAACCTCATTAATTGCACTTGAACATTTATCCTGACACTCTTGGGAACAAATATACGCTCAAAAAATTCACATCCAAAGCCTGAAATGTCCGCGCGCGCGTGCACAAAAATGAAAATATCTTTGAATACTTATTTGCTAAGTTTAGCTAGGTTAGAATAAAAATAGCATGAGATACATCGAACTATAGCAAAATTGGGGCAAGGATTACATTTCAGTTGTCAAAATAGACATTGGAGCATTCTGACCGGCGCGATAGCAGCCAACCATTACATTAATGGTCATCTTAGCACAGATTTTACAAGTTGTATGTCGATTTATAGGTAATGGCAAGAGGAATTTTTTTTTTAGGTCAAAATAAATATTGGAACATTCTGACCGGCGCGCTAGTAGCCAAACATTACATTATGGGTTATCTTAGCACAGATTCTACATGTTGTATTTCGATCTATGGGTAATTGGCACGAGGAGCTCATTTCTTGAGTAAAAACTTTTGTAAGACCACTCTGATCGACGCGCTAGCAGCCAGCAAGGATGTGGCTTAAACCAATCTAACCTGGATATTGCTGAATCGATTATATCACACGGACCATGGATGTGGCTTGAACCAATCTAAAAAAAGAAACATTTGCAAAAAAATGCTAAACTTTTCCAAAACAATCAAATTTTCTAATTAACAATTAGCAATTAACACTCTAAGAAATTGAGTTTTTGCCACAAATGCCAATTTTATAATACCTAAATCTCAACAACCAGATGATGCATACCTTTCATATTTCAAGCTTACATTATTTGATCCACCAGAATTCATAGTTTGAAATATTTACGGTCTACGACATTTCGTTTTAAAGAAATTGGGATTTAAAAATCCGAGTTGGTGGCAAAAACTCAATTCCTTGGTTTTAATATCGATAATGATTAACTTAAAATCGTAAAATATTATCTGTTCATAACAGAAAAGATTTAAATGCAAAATTGCTAATTTAACAAATTATTTTATTATTTCCTGAGGCCGAATTTAAAGAATTTATACCATGTCTACATGTGATTCAAATATGAGACGTGGTTCAAACATGGCTGGTTCAACTTGAAATTTTTATTAGTGTTTTATTCATAGAGAATAGAATTTATAGAGAAGAATTTACTAGAAAAAAGTGTAAAACGGCCATTTTGTTGTACTGTTTCCATACTGCAGGTGTACTTCACATATTTATGCTATATAACCGGTTGGGCCCTGGAATATCATTTTATAAAAAATCTAAAATTATTGTTAAAAGAAAACCAAATTATGAAAAAGGCAGGTTTCACAATGGACCAATGATCATTTCACATAGACTCTATGCCTTCCACTTTGCAAACGATGATTTTATTTAACAGTTTAAAAAATTCGAAATTGAAATGGATAGTTTAGGGAATATACTGTATTAATGTACTCTACTGCATATAATTTGTGAACATTTACATGATTTGTACACTTTGAACTCCCTTTTAGGCTGCAAGGTACTGAAAAAATTCATACCGAGAGATTCTTTTAATTCCTCTCTATATATTCTATTCTCTATGGGTTTATTATTTGATTGAGCCAGCGCGCAATTTTAACCGGTGATTGGTGGTTCAGCGACGCGGTTTAAATTCATTAAAGTCGGCCTCTGATTCCTTAAAATTCTTACCTCAAATCTGAAAACACTGCTGCGAAGCAGAAAGAAGTCAGATTGTTGTTTTTGAAGCTTGGGTTTAGGCCAAACCTCTCCTCTACGGAATAGATTAGTTTATTATAAAATAAAATTGAAATGATTGTCAAAATATAGGAATAAAAAATTGCTAAAAACACACCACAAAAATAATTTTCACACTCATTTTTTTAAATATATGTAGCAGAGCTGTATAAGCATGACATAATTTTCTATACATTACATGCATAATTTATGATTTCTCGAATTTGTATCGGTTTCGTTGAAAATATTTACTTCGCGCGGTATTATGGTATAAATTTGATTAAATTAGAATTTTGACCATTCAAAATATGTTATGTGTGAATATATTTTTTTTTAATTTTCAACTGATATTTGTCTGAAATAGATTAAAATCCCAGGATTTGTGGTTTAAGTCCCGTCCATTACATATACTGCATTGCGGGAAAGAAAACTAAAAGTTTGAAATAGAGGAATGTGTACTTTAAGGTGACTTTAAAAACGTTAGATGTAGTTCAAATTAAGGACCGGACTCTTTTGAAAACAAACCAAGTGCTCCTACAACTTGTGAAAGGGAAGGACCAAGCTCTTAAAAAACGCAGGTAGTTGTGACAGTAATCATCCAAGAAAACATCATACTTTTGCTTTGTTTATTATATTCTCCTTTCCTGCTTTGAAAAACAAATCATTGGATTCTTTGTTGTGATCTCCTCCCACTTCACCATTTCTTGATTTGGTGTAATCCGACCTTAACAATATGACATCAAAACACTCAACTTTGAAAACAGATGCTCAGCTCAACTTTGCACCAGTATTCAATCATACAACTATTCACAGAATACCACTTAATACACTAACACTCAAATGATCAAATCTATAGTTAAGATTGTATGACTGACAAATACGCAGCAGAAACTCACTAATTAAAAGGTTAAATTAACAGTTTTAAAATAAAAAGAGAAAATTCTTTAATGCCGTCTTCGTCGTAACTTGTAAGCTTGTAATTTGAAATATGCTTGTAAGGAATCAAAGCCTTATAAAAAAATGCGTCTTCATTGTATTTATATAACCGCCGACCACTGCAAATAAAAAACACAATATTCCTTGTTTGTTGAACCCAAGCTCCAGGTCGTTCAGGCCAGTTCTTAAACTCATCTCCACCATGCTCTTGACTAATAGACTGGACTGCAAACAGTCCAAGCAGAAAACATCTTTGGAGCATAATCTCTTCAAATATAATTGATTTAATAGTACACTATTTAATACACAATTTAATTTAAACGATATTTTAAATGCAAAATTAATATCAATGTTGACCTGTCACAGTTAAATACTCAACTTGTGACATTATATCTGAGCTAAAATCCATTTTGGGGTTATCAACGAAAAGGAGCCTTGACAAAACCAGTTATATAATTATTTATGTTAAAATATTCAATAAGTTTTATAAATTTTGAAATTCATTCACCGCTGATTTGATTATTGAATAAGGGAGAAAGAACAAATTGAATATTAAAACAAAATTTACTAACAATTTTATTTTTAAAACAATTATTTTTAGAATAAAAATCAAAAAATTCCTTCGACTAATAGTACAAGAACTTTGGGGTAAAAAAACAGTAATACTGTTACGAACCATAATCAAAATAATGTAAATACAAAAAAAGAAATACATTTTAAAACATCTAAGGTTATAAGTAAAGTTAGCTCATTATATGATACCCTAAAAAATTGGTATCATCCTCTTCACAAAAGTGAATTTTAATTCATATTGATTTGCATGTTTTCAAATGCAAGTTTACAACTACCTTTCTAAAGAACTATTGAAATGTGTTTCAAATATGATTAAAGTGATCATATTTATTAATGGAACACTTGTCCACACATACGGCTTTCCTCATAATTGATGAAAGAGTTTAAACCATGGAATGCCCAATCAAAGCCAACACTTATGCAAATGCATTATCCAGAAATTTAATTTTACGTAGATTTTAATACTTTTTGTGGTTCCCTATTTTCCATCAAGAATGTTGAAATTGCATTAATTTTTTAAATTTTTATTTGGAAACAACACCTATCAATCTACTCTTAAACTACATCTCGTATTTAATTGAGTTTATCTATAATATTACATATACTTCTTAGTATTAGATTCTGGTCACGGTTCGGATAATTAATTTCGAAATCCTTCCCGCTTCCTGTTTTCGCTTCAACTATACAACATCAAGTTAATGCAACAAGGAAGATACGTAAACAACAATTATAATTTTGAATCAAGGCGAAAGGTTAGAACGAGATGAAAACCCTGTATTTTCAAGAGTAAAATATTTATGATGATAATTAAAACTTGTTGAAATGATGATGGAAATAATGAAATCTAAATTTCGTATCGCTCTTTAAATGGATTCTGTGTGAAATGTAATCATTGCAAATAATATTTAATATTTAAATTAACCGAAGAAAATCGTTCAATAAATCCGTCCAAGTTACATCTATCTTATGTGCTGAGAGAACAAACATACAAACACCTACGCCATTTGTAGCCCCCCCCCCCTCCACACCCATACCCCTTACTGTATGCATGAAATATGGATATCTTTTATCAGTATTTTTAAAACAAGTGTGTCAAATAATAAGGATAATGAGTCCAGAATATAAGAAACCTTTAATACAGAATAGGAAGATTCCAAATCCAAAAGATTCAAGGATAAGAAAAAATGAAAGAATGCTAAATCTGAAAATATATGATAAATCACAAACCAATAAAAGATGCTAATTTTTGGAAATAAACATGTTCAGAGATGGAATTTAAAGAATTTGAGCCGCGGTTTAAATCCGCCAAAACCCGGTTTAAATAAAGCGCCGGCTTAAATCTTGAAACATTTGATACAATTTTAAGTGGAACCAACCATATTTAAGCCGCGGCTTAAATTTAAACCGCCGCTCAAATTCTTTAAATTCGGCCACTGTTTTGGAATGTATGTATACATAATACATATTTATATGTACACAGATTATACGGAATCGCCATCACATGTTTATACAATGTATGTAATGAATGTGTGAAATCGGAAACTGAAAAACCTATTCTGTTAAAGTTGGTATTGTGTAATGTAATGTGTAACTATATTTTTTAATTTTTTAATCCATATATCTTTGCAACCTGAGATGGAATTTAAACCGCCGCTCAAATTCTTTAATTTCGGTCACCGGTTTCATAGATATTTGATATTTTAAACTATTAAATCAAAGGTTTGCAAGGATATAGAGATTATAAAATATGACTTTGTGGCAAAAAATCAGTTCCTTTAAACAACAATCCTAACATGTATTAAATTGTTTACAAAACAAGTACTTGTTTATGTTTTTGTTTAATTTACTTCTTTCTATTGAATAAATAGTGAAATCTTTTTATTTCTAAAGTTTGTTGAAGCTTAACGTGTGTTCACAGTAACATTAACTCTCACAACTCTATAGTATCCTTACAATGCAGCTAGTTATAGTCAACTGGTGTCTATCTTACAGTCTCTACTAACTCTGTAAACTGGAACTCGTTTCATCGGAGAACACGCTTTTATTCGTAAAAATAAACAGAGATAAGGCAAAAATATCGAGATATATCATAGCTATTAATATGTTTAAACAATAACATGCATAATACTTGATTACCATCTTGGTTAGTTGTACAAATGTTAAAACTTTGTTACAATACTATTTTAAAAAAAATATATTATTCTCCTTCGTAATAACTCTAGAATATTAATTATGTATTATTGTATGACGTTTTATATACATTAAGCAGAGAGGCACAAGGACTAATCACAGAAACGTAATAATCAGAAGTTTTGACGACACCGACCCAAACACAAAGAAAAACTAAAATTCAATAAGTCAAAACATTTTTTCTGTCCAATTTATAATTTCAAATTTACGAAAGAAAATTTTTAATATTAGGTTGGAAAATTATTCAATAAACGTTAGATTTTGAAAAAGATTATTTATCAAAACAGGCTTTTTGACTCTGGAGAAATTATTATCTTGAGTAAAGCCATGTAGAATACGCACCCCACTCCCCAGGAAAAAAGATTTTATAGTCAAGTTATGAAGATGCGATGCACAATTTTCACGAAATGTCTTTTAAGCTTAAAATTGGAAAACGTATTCTTATACGATGTGCCTCAGCCCAGTTACTTTTTATATTACATGTTCACTAAATATTCATCCCAAATTTAAATTTTCTGATCAGTAAATGTCGATAAGATGCTATATTAAACACCCTTAGCTTTCTCCTGAAGCCAGTTTACGTTTCTTGTCAGAGCCAAATCTCATCTTTAGACTCAAATCTTTTCCATTCAAATGTGTTCTAGAGGTTTGGTAACCTTATAAATCTATTCTTATCTAATTTAATCCTATGCATTATATAGTAATATAATATTTTTAATTGCTTTATATACAATGATTTTTCTTATAAACGATGATTTTTCTGGTTGCTAGTGTAATGATTATTGCTACAATCGATTACAATTACAGACATAAATCTTCGGGTTTTTGGGATAAATCATTTGCTCCCTCAGAGAAAGGGCGTGTTTTTTTTCTTGATCCCGGCTCTTCGTTTCGTAAATCCCAATAATGCTCTCTCTCTTTATATGTTTAGATATATCTCTCAGAGTATGAATGAATGTGACTTTCTATTTATTTCTTTTTATTGATCTAAATACATCTGTTTATGTTTATTATGTTTATTCTTGTTGAATTAGTTTTTTATGTGTTTGTAGAGGCCCACACGTTTACTTGTTGCAGTGGGTTAGCTCTTGAGTATATTTAGCTCTACTAAGGTTTCCGCCAATCCAGTCTGTGGTTTCCAGAAATCCAGCGGAACCATGACAAACCATAAAAGATCATGAGTTTGGAGCTGTTCCTCAATTGTTGCAACTTTCTGTCTAGTCTTGATATACTTCCGATATACAATCTTCAAATCATCTCTTTCAGGGAGCTCCAATTAACTGTTCCATTTCCGTGTCAGTCTGAGCAGCTCCATGGGATCCAAATTCCTCATTTAACTGCTCTGGATCTCTAAACTTGAAGCTTTCATTTAGCTGCTCCCGACCAGGGTGTCCCTCAACAGCTTCTTCCGCTTCACCCATCTCATCATAGCTGTACTAGTTCAGGATATCTAAACTTGAATACTTCGTTCAGCAGCTCGGGAGTAGGATCGCCCTGAGCAGCTTCCTCAGATTCAGCTAAGTCCTCTAGATCTCTATTTTTACGAGGAGTCCCAGAATTGGAGGATTTAGGGATTTAAAAAGTTAGGGTCGATCCGTAATTCCTTAAACCCGACTTTAAGACACAATCTTCAACCCAACTTTGACGACTCTAAACTCATATGCTTCCTTTAGCAGTTCGGGAGTAGAATTGCCCTGAGCAGCTGCCTCAGATTCAGATTCAGCCGTTCTTCAAATATAGTTGTAGTTTGTCGATTACATTTTCCATATCTTCTGCTGGTTCATAGAATGCGTATCCAGTTGTCCTAGCTGCTCTTAGAGTTAAAGGATACTCTGGGGTCGGAGATTGAACTTGAGGAGTATTCTGTTCCCATTTACTCAGACAGTCTTAGTACTACGTTAAGGTAATAACTAATTGTGGATTGTTTACACTTATCTTTAATTTTTTTCTGATATGTACATAGTTTTGAGCAGTTTATCAAAGAGTTACTACTGAAGATTGCTGCAAGGCATAAAACATCATGTGTAGTACATTTCTTTGTATAATAAAAATGTGAAGTTGAATACAGAAATATGAGCTTTATCATATAGATTTCAAATAGTTCTAGTTAAAATTATAATCTTTAAACTTCTTAGTTCAGACAATTTGCCACCTTATAATAAATATTTTGCCTTAAAGTGACCGTTCATTCACTTATTTGGGTAATTTCATGCATGTAAACTAAACAGCCAATAATAGCTGTTTATTGGTATTAGTCTTGCTTTTCAGAGACAACTGTGGCCGAAACTCTATACTAGACGTTTTTCAGCAACAACAGCCCAATAAAATTTAAATTTACCATATTTCAATGCCATTATGTGTTTGTTAACCAAAACAAATGATCTTACTCCGCTGCAAGGTCGTCTTTGACCAAGATTTTCTCCGGTGGCCAATCCCTGCATTTTATACCTCCGACAGATCTGTAAACACCCGCTTCAAATTTAATTAAAAACCTTAAAATTCATGAATAATTAATCTTTGCAACCAATTTTCATTTTATTTCAAAAGATAAAAACGTTGTTTTAGCACTGTTCAATAACCTGTTTATCAAAAAATACCAGTATTATTATTTTCATAATAATAAAACTAAATATCACAGATTTAATATCCCCCCTTTGAACTCAACATTGTTAGCTATCATTCACTAAAATATGAAAACTTTTTATGAGTTAGCAATAATTTTACGTTTTTCGTCTGAAACGTGTAAAATGTATATACAAAGACATGCCGTTCTCTACGACAATCAAGTAATCATTACGCAATTTCGGTTTGTAGATTTAACGCCGCCTTCGATGTAAATAGAATATACATCTTACTTGCAATGATGCATTTGTGAGTAATCTGAAATAGTTTATTTTTTAAACTTTCGGAGCGGGATGGGAGAACCGCTCTCTAATCAGTTCTCTCCACATACATAGCTTCTGTCAGTTCTCCAACCAATATATGCTATTGTCAGAATGGTCCAAAATCCTAGTTCCGCCCCCCCCCCTTCGGATGATGGCACCCCTCAACCAGTAGGCTAATTTATTATCAACTAGCCAATTATGAATCACTAGAATTTTAGGGCGCTTCGCGCCCATCTTCTATTTAAATTGTGAACATGTTCTTTTTGTTTACATTTTAAAACAAAGAAGAAGAAAATTTTGCGGATTTTTAAAAACAATTTGCGGATTTTTAAGAATTTAAATTTTTTTTACAAAATTAAAAACCTTTATAACACATTTTTTTAAAATTTTTATCATTCATAAACCTTCCCTGTGGTCACGTGATGATGTCCCACAAAAAATTTGGGACTGATCGGTTCAGCCGTTTTGACGTTTATTGGATACAAACAAACAAACAGACAGACAAGCCAAATTTATATATAGATGACATTATAGAGGACGTGAGTCAGACTCTAATAAAATCGTATAAATAACTTCCAGTATATATATTTCTTATAACTTATTACTAGAGGGTTCAGAACTAAAGTCGATATCACACGTGTAGATGTTTTTCAGTACTATGCCCCGTATCCATTCTATCTCATTCTGTTGAATCTTGATGAACTTGTTTAACGCGGCCAGGCATCGTCTTCCACAACATTAACGAAAAATCAGCTTTTCTCCGGCCACAGCTGTCTTTGAAAAGTAAGCTACCAATAGCTGATATTTCATGTAAGTCGTCTTTACAGAAACCTCCCTCGGAGAAACTTCAAACCAATTAGCAAATCTCCAATAAAATTGATCTATACTTTCCAACAAAAGAAACGACAAATAGTGAAACGTTTTAATAAGTGAAAGATCAAATGCATTAACAACTTTGTATTCCATAGTCAATTCCACTTAAACAACCAGGTTTATATTTCGGAAGTATTTACAAATGTTTAAAACTATTCCATCAAACCCTCAAAGTCAAACCCTAATCACTCCTTTTCACTCCGACACAAAATACTAGTAAGATATATCATTTAATATTCAATTAACATTGCCATTTTATTTTTTACTATATCTGCATTTTATTGCAGGTTTAAAATACATCTATTTACTGATTATTTGCGACTACTCTGTCCGAGTTAAGAAGCCTAACCAACGAACCAACTAACCAATGAACCAACTAGCCAACCTAACATCTCATTGTCTTATCGACGCCCCACCTACGTTTCAACATATAGGTTCTAGGCAAAACGGCCATTTTTAAGCATCTTTTTATAATTCGCACCGATTTTTGACATCTTTCATGTTTGATAATATCTTTTACTCTTTTTCATTTGTTCTGCTGATAAAAATCTTCAAATAAAATCATTTCTAAATTGAAAAAAAAAAATTTTATAACATTAAACATTCTTAATTTTCTGATAGGGAGAATGTTCAAAGCCCAAAAAGCTTCCGCTGTGTGACTTATTTTAGGTAAGCCCATTAATCTTATCGTTATTTTTGTTTGTAGTTAGAATTTTAAATCTTAAACTATAAATTCTAAATGAGAGTGGAAAAAAGAGTAATAATGCAATTTCATGGTTTCAAAGCTTAAGAAGTTTTTATTTTTTTTTCATAGCATAAAGTGAAAAAGTTAACCATCTGTATATCTTTCAGGACAGAAGAATAATAAAAGCATAAGGAGAAAGAATGATAGCAGATAGTGAAGGGATTTTAAAAAGTCGTCTAGTTTGATGAATTGGAATAAAGGATACGATAGCCTAGGGTTTACGACCGAGATAAAAGAAGGATTATGTTTTGAACTATTTAACTCGACTGGAGGGACGTTTGTTAGGTAATGTTTATTAATAAATCTCGTGAACAGAAAAACTTCTGTTCTTTTTTACACAAGTTGTTCAAAGGAATTGAGTTTTCGTAACAAACTGATTTTCTAATACCTATATTTTTTCCACCTGATGGTGTAAACCTTTGATATTTCAAACTTAGATTTTTTCATCTAACAGAATTCATAGTTTGAAATATCAAAGGTCTACGGCGTTGGGTTACAAAGATATAGAGATTAGAAAATCATAGTTTGTGACAAAGACTCAATTCCTTCACCCTACTTCCATACATGTTTTTGAAACCTACATATTATATCTTCACATGGGCGTTGTTCTATGAGTTTAAGTTTAGCAGAATCAGCAATTACTGAGCCAGATGGTAATGAGATTTCTCCATACTAATGGTTCAACAAAAATCGTTCTAACGTCACAAGAGAGACAAGGCTTCCTCTCTAATAACCAGCAAAAGATTGCATTTCCAATAGAATATTCAATAACGCTTGAAACTATACAGAAAGCCATAGTACTAGGAGGAGCATTGAAACAAATATTAGCTGCAAATGTTTTCTACATTTTTCATGCTCGCTTGCTAACCATCGATTAAAAGATACTACAGGGTGTCCCAAAAAACATGGGAATTCAGTGACGAATTCGATATCGTCTTTGTTATGAATTAGCATTGTAATACCTAATTTCAAAAGCCATAATACTATTATGTCTGCTAGAGTTTATTTAATGAAAAGGGTAAAAGACTGAAAAGATGTGTCTATATTGTCTCCGCAAGATGAACAGTGAATATGGACAAGTTTACTCTCTTTGTATACTGTAATTTTCTTGTTTTACTAAGTACAACCGGTTGCAGTCAAAACATAAACAAACAAAATGTAAACATAGCAGACGAAACTCTTACAGATTACAGCTTTCTCAGTAGGTATCACTATACTAAATCAAAGAATTATTTATGAAGACGATATCGAATTCGTCACTGAATTCCCATGTTTTTTGGGACACTCTGTACTATAATACTATCATGCAACATAAAAGGGTGACTCTGGCTTAATCCCACTAAAAAAATAAAGTTTTTAGAAAAGATAAACAGGGAAATGAAAAATCCATATTTGTTTTTCTTCTGAAGAACTTCTTGCTGCGAATCGTGAGTTTTGGGTCTATAATCAATTTATTATTTAATCAACAGATTATATATTTATCAATATATATTTTTGGTCAACTAACCAAAATCTTTTAACTTCTGATTTTTATAAACATTAAACAATCTTAACTTCAAATTGATACAACAAGTCAAAATTTACACAACATAAATTAGCACCTGGAAAAGAGATGCAGCAGAATGTTAGCTTTTCTCTGATTAACAAAGAAAATTTTGATATGATTTTATTTTGTATAAATGGAAATTTACATTTTAAACATTTTAAACAAAAAATATTTTTTGCACAGAATCTATAAATACAACTCCCAAAAAGTGTTGTTCTTTTCAGCTAAACGAACAAAACAATGTAAATAAATGAAACGTTAAAGAGAAAAATAACCTCAACCAATAAAATAAAATAAATGTCAAATGAACCTAGATTTCTTTATGTAAATCAATCTTAGTTTTCAGTTCTTTTGCCTAGAACTATATTTCTGAATATCGGAAAATGTAGAAATATAAAAGCTTTACATGATTAAATAAAAACTTATATATTTGTTCTACCTAGAATTTGTTCTCATGATTTGTCTATAGATTAAACACTTTAAAACATTCATCATATTCTTTGTAAACCTAAAACTTCGACAAATGAACTTTTTCTACAAACATATCGATCTTAACTTTCCAGAATCTAGAACATTCATTTTAACATTCTTTCCGCAATTATGATCAATTTTTAATTAGGTGTACAATTTAGAACGAAAGCAACATTTACGAAAAAATGAAACTTTGTAATTGAACACAAATTAAAGTTACTAACATAGATTCCATATTTCTACTTATGAAGGTAGATATAGACATTAAAAACAATTTTACTTTTAATTTAAAGGGAGTGTTCGCGAAAAATGAAAGGGGGTATAGGCTTAATGCGATAAAAAAGCGCTTTTGATCGCTACTAATCTTACTTCTATCTGTTGCGTCTATAAGGAGAAAATTGTTAAAGACGTCTCATACCGAATAACTTAGCGCCCATAAAAAATTGAGAAAATTGCAACATACGACTTAGACCGTAAAAAAAATCAATTTAATTTCAAACAAATCATTCAGATATTACAACCTATAGTCATCGATTATCTTTCGCCACATTTTTATATAGTTTATATTTTATAATATTTTGAAATTAATTTGTTTTGAATTTGATTATTTCTCTTGCGGCTTGCGCAACTATCTAAGAATGCCGCGGACCACTCACATTTTTCGAAATCAGTTAAAACGTTTTCTAAAAAAAAATAAAATATTATAAAATAATCGATGACTATAGGTTGTACTATGTGAATGATTTGTTTGAAATTAAATGGATTTTTTACAGTCTAAGTCGGACGTTGCCATTTTCTGAATTTGTATTGGCGCTAAGTTATTCGGTATGCGATGTCTTTAACAAGTTTCTCCTTATAGACGCAACAGATAGAAGTAAGATTAGTAGCAATCAAAAGCGCTTTTTTATCGCATTAAGCCTTTACCCCCTTTTATTTTTCGCGAACACTCCCTTTAAGTACATTTATGTAATTACCATTTTTTTAAATACACGGCGCTAATGGGAGTATCTCACAGTCTTCAACGAAGATAAAAACATAATTGATCAATTTGGAATATCTGAGATTTTTAGATATTAGGAAATGAATCTGGCTTGTACCATTTATTAAACGGAAGTGTAGAAATAATTTATAGATACAAATTATCTACTGAAAGAAGAAAATAGTGTAAAAGCTCCGATTCAAAATGTTCCCATTAAAAGTCTTCAGATAATATCTAAAGTTTATCCTTTTTATTGTGTTTTTCTTTCAGTAGCGCTCTAAAATTTAGAGAAATAAAAATGATTGAAAATTTTTTTCTTTACTAATTTTTAATTATCTAATCCTTACTTATTTGCTCCCTAATGCTTTAGACCATTAATATCTAAAACTGGAAAACAATTAGTTGAAATATACAATTATACCTTCAAGTTGCCAAGATATAGGGTTTAAAGTTTAAACCAGACTTTCTTTGAGTTCACACCTAACTCTGATTTTTCTTTTGTTAGGCCAAGGGCGCTTCAGACAGTGTCCTGGCATGGCTGGAAAGGAAGAGAGCAAACTTTTATAAAGGTATGAGCCGGGAATTTTTTAAAGACAGAGATAGAACGACAGAATGATATTTCTGAACTTCTAGTCGAAAGGATCAAGTTCATAGCTGAAATGTTCACAATTACTACATGGGGCTCACAAAACAAGGCAAAATATAAGGTTCTTCATTCTTGCTTTTATGAGACAGAAGTTAAAGAAAAAGTCGAAAAAATATTAGTTGTCCCATTCTCTGAATTTGTCCAAATGTTTACTAAGTTTAATTTAAAGTTTAAAATTGAAAAAGTAATGACTGCCCAAACTGCCCGGTAAATCTCAATTCTAGGGAAAAGTTATTGATGTGAAGAAACTTTATGGAAAGTAACAGATGTTTTTTCTACCATCACTAATTCTCACACAGAGAGTTGACTAGTGTTTGAATAATGCTTTTAGCTTTAAAATCTTTTTCAGTAAATTAATTAACTAAAAATGCAGTACATCAAATGAATTAGCTCTATTTCGGGCCAGAATGAATTCTGGTCAAGTTAGAAGTACAAGCTAGTTTATCAATATAAAAAACTCGTCTTTTTATTTTGCACTTTATATTTCTTAAAGTTCAATCGAAATGCATCAAACAAAGTTTATCGGCCAGAATGCATCCAGTATGCCACCCAGAATAAAAGAACTTAAACTATTTTATAAATCCAAATTTTCATCTCGTAATTTGTAAACTTAAATTCTTTACATAAATTCTTAAGAATATTTTTCAACAATGTAAATGGCTGCATCAAGAATGGCGAGTAGAACACTTGAAGCTTAACTTTTGCCTTAAAACAATTCTAATGAATCTGAAAACAATTTTTTTATATTTCGATAAGAGTTTTGAGCCACATGCAACTTAACCGTTATCTCAGACATTGATAAGAAAAACATAAGGTTCGATATATCTAAGGTTATTTAATAACGTTATATCATTTAATAAAATTATATCATTTAATTTTTTTTCGTATTTGTTTTACAGTTTGTTTGACATTAGGATGAAAGTTAGACAATTTTGGACTGAGGGGAAATCAATTCTTTTCCCAGTTTAAAATTAAAAATATGATTTAGAAATTGTTAGTTTACTGTCTTATTGGTCGGTATATTTGAAATATGTATATCCTTATTTACATTTATTATAGATACTATTAACAATTCAATAAAATTAACCTCGTTCACGCTCACAACTTCATGCGAAGATAAGATTAATTCAAATACAAAATAGATCTTGAATTTAAAAAAAATCAAAATGATAATAATATTACTGTTAAAACCAGTTGAAGTTGTATTTTAAGAAAAAGACACACAATTAAATTTTGCCCCAGATATAAGAATGTTCAGGATCAAACTTCATCAATTTCTCTCAATGTAAGATACACCATATTGATATCCTAGTTTAAAAACTATGTTCCGAATAGTATTGGTGTCGGAACAACTATTACCCTGTAGCCAGTTCTTACTGTTATCCAAATTAGAAAAATAATTGGTATTGCCGAATCTCTAAAGGCTTTGGAGGCCACTGGAGCCGGTTTAACCTCTTTGACTTCGTTCATCTCTTTCACAACCTCATCAATGTCTATGATATCACTTTCGTTCTCCAAGAAATCTTTTGGAGGTAGACTAGGCCCATTACAGGTGTCCCGACCACACAGACAAACAGTTGCCTGTCAACAAGAAAAGAAAACTTACATAAAGATGGATTTTTTATATCAATTTAAAGGGAGTGACCGGCTATGTAAGGTAGTTGAACTGAGTATGCAGTGTTGTGGAAAGCTTCTTTCGGATTCATTTGAGACATATTAAACTTTTTAAAGATCTGTACATCCTGAGTTTGAGCGCAAATTCGACGTTCAAAACTCCTACTTTGGAGGTGGATACGTTTTCAGAATTAGTTTTTTTTAAATTATTAAATAACGACAACGAAAAATAAAGTAAAAATTATAAAGTAGTCTAATTAGATGTATAGCAACATATTTCTCAAAAGAAATGTGTCAATAAATCAATGCTAAAATCGATTATTTCGTTTTCATTATTATATTGAATTTATAATTTTCTTTGAATTTATGCGCAGATTCCTTCAAATTCTTCAAATGTCGTCTTTTCAAGAGTAATTCTAGAAAATCTGCGAACATCTTTGTGAATAATGAGAAACCAGAATAATGAGATAATATAAACTAATAATTGAACAAGATTACTTATTTTCGATGATAAGATTAATTTTTATTTTCTCAACATGTTCCTATTCATGACGTCTGTAGTTAATTGTAGAACTTTTTTATATTTTATGTCGAAAACGTATCCACCCCCAAAGTAGAAGTTTTGAACATCGAATTTGCTCTCAAACTCAGGATTTGCAGATCTTTAAAACGTTTAATATGTCTCAATATGTCCGAAAGAAACTTTCCACAACACTGCATACTCAGTTCAACTACCTTACATAGTCGGTCACTCCCTTTAAAGGTAATTGATTTTATACTCATTCATCTTTAGAAAAGGAATTTGTTGGTGAGTAAAAACAAATAGTAAAAATATATACATAAATTAGCTTTATTTTCCGTAATGTCTATTTTATAATTTAGGAAATCATTTTCAAGATTAATAAAGAACCCTTTAGAATTTAGAATTAAAATACATAACTTGAAAGAACTAAACTCTCCACCCCAATAAGTTATTCAAAGTAAGAAATGGGTTGTTTATCGTTTAAGCAAAATTTGTCAAGCAGTCTCAAGTTAAAAGTCTTGAAACCCATGAATTTTAAATATATTTATTATTAAATGAATTCGGGAAGGGGGATAAACAATTTAACTGAAAATAATTAATTTTGGTTTCTAGAGAAAGTGCTCACTTACCCTCATAATATTGACAGTGTGTTGTGAGCAGACAGCTCCATTGTATTTACTGTATCTCTCCCTTCTACGTGAAACAGCAGGAGCCTTACTACATCCACGGCTGATTGCTAAAACAAAAATTGATCCGATATCTTACGTAAACAGTTTGTATCCAAACCCATCTAAACGTTATTGGAAAAAGTGTATTAGTCAAAAAAACATACTTCCCCCTACCCTCCATAAAATCACGTTCTGTTAATGCTTAAACGTTACTCAATATTAAAAACTTTTAAAGGGAGTGTTCGCGAAAAATGAAAGGGGTATAGGCTTAATGCGATAAAAAAACGCTTTTGATCGCTACTAGTTTTACTTCTATCTGTTGCGTCTATAAGGAGAAAATTGTTAAAGACGTCTCATACCGAATAACTTAGCGCCTATACAAATTCAGAAAATTGCACATACAACTTAGACCGTAAAAAATCAATTTAATTTCAAACAAATCATTCAGATAGTACAACCTATAGTCATCGATTATCTTTCACCACATTTGTATATAGTTTATATTTTATAATATTTTATTTTTTTAGAAAACGTTTTAACGGATTTCGAAAAATGTGAGTGGTGCGTGGCATTGTTAGATAGTTGCGCAAGTGACAACAGAAATAATCAAATTCAAAAAAATTAATTAAAAAATATTATAAAATATAAACTATATACAAATGTGGCGAAAGATAATCGATGACTATAGTTTGTAATATCTGAATGATTTGTTTGAAATTAAATTGATTTTTTACGGTCTAAGTCATATGTTGCAATTTTCTGAATTTGTATGGGCGCTAAGTTATTCGGTATGAGACGTCTTTAACAATTTTCTCCTTATAGGCGCAACAGATAGAAGTAAGATAAATAGCGATCAAAATCGCTTTTTTTTATCGCATTAAGCCTATACCCCCTTTCATTTTTCGCGAACACTCCCTTTAAGTTTCAAATTCTTAGTTACACGGATAAGTAATTGATAAAATTCTAAACCCATAAATTACATACTTTGTATGGATTTACACAAAGGTAAAATTGTCGGACAGTATGAGGCGTCTATGAATTTAAAATATTTTTATGCATCATTTTGTTTCATAATTTTTTTTACGGATTTACAAAAAGATTAAATAGTCGGCCAAGTTTGCCTCGTCTATGAATTAAAAGTATTTTTTATACATCATTTTATTATAAACTTTTTTATGGATCTCAATGGTTAAATTGTCAGGCAAGTATGCCTCGTCATAGAAATTACAAATCATATCTTTTTATGCATCAAAAAGTTGTTTACTAGAAATGACAATGAAAACTTAAAACATAGAGAATTAAAGGCAAAGAAACATTTATGCACATTATGTTAACGTAATGGAAATCTTTTTATATGTTTAACTTTTATACTAATGGCTACTTGATCTTTAGAATTTTTTAATTATATTTTAAATACTAGTGAAAATTGAGAAGAGATTAAGCTAAGCCTTTAATCGTCAGATCTTCAAGGGTTTCCGTCTAATCCGGTCACTTTTTAGTAGAAGCAGCTTTCTAACTTTAATTAATGAAAAATCCGTTAAGTTGGAGAAAAACATGTCTTTCACTGAGATAATTAGGTTTTTGTATTTCTTTCATGAAAATTTGTATTTAAATATCTAATAAAATAAAAAGATATTTTATGTAGTTTTATCAGGAATGCAGAATACACTATGAGTAGAAGCATTTGAATCATATGCAAATTGTGTTGTTTGCGTAGTTTTTGAATCCTATTGGCCGGGGGGTAAACAGGGTATCCAAGGGATTAAAGTTCTAACGGCTCAACTAAAATCAGATATTGAAAAGAAGAACATTTTAGATATGAATATACGATTTATGGATAAAAGGTTTGTCTCAGCTTGCACATTATCTGTATTTTTTTTATACAAATAAATCATTTTCGTTTTCATCTTTTCAGAAAGGGGTTTACCGTTAAAAACATTTAAGAAGAACCTTTTGGAATTTGAAAGTAAAGTGTTTTAAACATAATTTATTGCAATACTGAAAGTTTCCAAGTCGGTATTCAATGTGTATTTCCTGGTTTATACTTCAGCATAGTAAGCATATGTGCAAGTATTATGTTTACAGTATACATTACAGTATATATAATATATTTAAGGAATCAGCATCAAATTAAAACATTTTATACATTTCAAGATTTTACTACACATGATGTTTCATGCCTTGGGAGTTGCGGGAATCATCAGTTGATTAATTAATATTAATAATAATTAATATATGTATACCAGCTGAATTGCTAATGTTACTCATAATTACTCGCGCTTTGTTTAAAGTCATAATTTTAGCTGTCCTCGGCGTTGCCCGTGGAATTTCAAAAATTCCCTTATTATCTTTTTAGCTTATGTGAACCCAGGGTACCTGGTACCCATGGGTCTCCTCAACAATTTTCGGACAATTTGGTTTAACCGTTTGTCCAGTTATATGATCAAACATATATATATGAGCGAAGAGATTTATTACATAGAAAAAAGCTGAGGTGCCCGGCGTAGCCTAGATTACTCTGACCTTACTCATAGTTACTCCAGCCATTTACCCACGGTTGGTTTTTAATTATGACTTTAGCTGAAGGGCCCGGCGTTGTACGTGATATTAAAAGAATCCAATTTTTTAGCCTTTATATATATATGTATATTGTTGCGTTTCAACTGATATATATATATATATATATATATAATGCTGTTGGCCAAACCAAATTGGATGACAATTTTTGAGAGAACCCAGGGGTTATATATATATATATATGTATTCATATATATCCGACAAGTCCGGTCCGAAGTATTTTATTCACTTGTGTAAATATATATATATACATATACTTGTCGGATGAATTTATTAATTCTTTTTATAAAAACGCAACCTCAGGTTTGAAGAAAAGTTGAAGAAAAGAAAAGTAACGAGATTTAAAAAGAAAGCGATGAGCGGTTGAGAAAAGATGGAAGAATAAAAATAAAAATAACAACTCATCCCTCTTATTAGATATAACAATTCTTCGTATTTCATTTAATTTTTATGATTCTTAAATATCTGTATTTCTGAACATAAAGAAAACATCTTAGTCGTCGCTTGAGTAACGATTTTAGCTTTTTTTTTAATGTAAACGATTCAAACTTTTCATGTGAAGTAAATTTTTTTGGCGAATAACATGCTTCGTTCACCATTAATATTATCTTTGTTTAAATTGTGTATATACAGATGGAAAAAACTAAATGTACGTATAAGACAAACAAGCTTCTGAGCTGTGGTTGCTTGAAAAAAAAACCTACTCCTAAAGTTTGCGAAAGTAGTGAGAGTTGCTATGCATGAAACGTAGCTGTCATCAGGGCACGCAGACATGTGACGGAGTGGCCTAGAAAAGGAATGAGTGAGTGCTGAGGATAAAAAATGAGTTTAGGCTAAAACCATGTACCCGTGTAATTGAATTAAAAACTTAGGAAATCTCTTTTTTGGAATTTCCCTACAAGTACACAGGAATTGAGTCTAGGTCACAAGCTCTGATTTTCTAATCCCTATATCTTTGCAATTCAATGTCGCAGACCTGAGATATTTTAAACTATGAAGTCTGTAAGATCAAATAATCTATATTTTAAATATAAAAGGTTCATAAGGATGCAAAGATTAGAAAATTTCAGGATGTGGGAAGGACTCAATTCCTTTAAAGCAACCTTAACATGCAGCCTTAAAAGATTTTTTTCAGAAAAGTAATTAATGAATTAATTTCATTCATTTCCGTTCACAATAAGCCGGCCTAAAGAAAATCAAAAAATTTGAAATGCCTCCAAGAAAATTTTGCGCCGAATTTAACACTTCATATAGCTTTTTAATGTTGTTAAGATAATCATAATCAAGCTTTTAAAGGTTTTACCTTTACACCCTTCCTACCAGGAGTCTTTTTCTAATCCATTTTATTTTGTCCATTATTCCACTTCTACATCCGTCCTTCCATGAGTCTTCGTAATCTGTCCTACCATGAAAGTTTCTAATCCGCCCACTATAAAGCTTTCTAATCCGCCCACTATAAAGCTTTATAATCCGTCCTACCATTAATATTTCTAAGTCGTCCTACCAAAAATATTTTTAATTCGTCGTACCAAAACTCTTTCAAATCCGCCCTTATTAATCTTTCTTATGTGTCCTTGCACACATCTTTAAAATTCATCCTAAAACATTTTAAAATCAGCCTTAACATGAACCTTTCTAATCAGTACTAGGACAAATCTTTTCTAACCCGTCCTTAAAAAAATAATAATCCGTGGTTGTACATCTTTCAAATCCGTCCTACAATGAATTTTTCTAATCCGCCTCTCTCAATTGGGATTGTAAACTACCTTATTTGAAACTTTTTTTACCATATCCCCCCCCCCCTTGCTTAATACCCCTCATGACCATCTAGCGATCTCAAAAGACTACAGAGGCAATTCTCTCCAATAAATACTAGATATCTTGCCGGATAGATATTTTATTCAAAGTGGTATCTTTTTAAATAAAAAACTTTGATTATAATTATCTTTTAACAAGGTATATGAAAGCAAATACGGAAACTCTTTTCGGTGAAAAAATTAATTTTCTTTAAATTTTAACCGTTCTTTCTGGCCGTGAAATTGGTTTTAAAACGAAAAACTATAGCAATTGGAATTTATACAAAAAGATCCAAAAACATTTTTTTCTCATTAAGCCTCGATTTAAAAAATGTTCTCTATAATTTTACTTATTTTTTTCTTAGCATTTCAAAAGTCTTGATTTTGTGAGCTACATTGTGAGCTGCTTGTGACACTCTCTCATAAAATAATTACTTATAGCAAAGAAATTAATAATTTACTTGGGAGTAAGGCTCTCTTTCTATATATAAATTTGGCTTGTCTGTTTGTTTGTATCCAATAAACGTCAAAACGGCTGAACCGATCGGGCCCAAATTTTTTGTGGGACATTTAGGGACCCCAGGGAAGGTTTATGAATCATCAAAATTTCAAATATTTGTCTCCATCAAAATTCGATCTTCATTAAATTTTTGAAAATTTTGAAAATCCACGAAATTTTTTGTGAAAATCCGCAATTTATTTTTGTTTTGTTTTACAATGTACACAAAGAGAACATGTTCACAATTAATTTAGAAGATGGGCGCGAAGCGCCCTATAAGGCTAGAAAGAAGGGCACGAAGCGCCTTGAATTTCTAGTTAGATAAAATCAAACTGAAACAGATTTAATATTCTATATATAAATTTGGCTTGTCTGTTTGTCTGTCTGTTTGTTTGTATTCAATAAACGTCAAAACAACTGAACCGATCGGGCCCAAATTTTTTGTGGGACATTACGTGACCACAGGAAAGGTTTATGAATGATAAAGATTTTTTTAAAATGTGTTTAAAGGTTTTTAATTTTGTAAAAAAAAATTAAATTCTTGAAGATCCGCGAATTTTTTTTCTTCTTTGTTTTAAAATGTAAACAAAAAGAACATGTTCACAATTAAATAGAAGATGGGCGCGAAGCGCCCTAAAAGCCTAGTATTCTATTTATATACTTTGCTTGTCTGTCTGTCTGTTTGTGTCCGATAAACGTCAAAACGGCTGGACCGATCGGGCCAAAATTTTGTGTGTGACCTCACGTGACCCCAGCGAAGGTTTATGAATGATCAAAATTTCAAAAATTTGTGCTTAAAAGTTTTTATTTTTGTAAAATTTTGAAAATGCGCGAACAAATATTATGAAATCCGCAAACTTGTTTTTGTTTTATACTGTACAAAGAGAAGATGCTCACAGATAAAGCCACAATTAAAAGTTCAAATAGGAGATGGGCGCGAAGCGCCCTAAAACCCTGGTATACCTAAAATGTGTAAAACGAATCTAATTCATGTAAATATTTTTAAGAAAGCATATTGAAGGGATTTGACAAAGACACTAATTAATATTAGTTCTGTTTTATAAAAATGCATGCTTTATCTGTCAACCATAAAATTATTATTTAATAGGTCAATAGTCAGGATGGTTGCAAAAGATTCCAAAAACAGTAATCTTTATTTTTTTTAAAAACTATAAATACCTGAGACTAGACTCAGGACAATCATCACAAACATAGCAGTACAGAACAGGAGCTGAAATTAAAACTCAGTCAGACAACAAACAAAAATAAAATAAGCGAAAAAAGATAAACTACACAAATTGGTTGAATATATATGAATAGTTAAACTGATCTCTTTATTTTTTCCTTTTCAAGGGAAAATACCTGAAATAGAAATAGGCTTTGGAAACTTTATAATTCAATTTACAGAAAAACACTTCTAGTCCCAGTATTAGTAGTGTGAAAGAAAACAGTTAAAATTATAAAGTTTATTAATAAGTGTTAATAATTTTATACAAATTAATTCTACATTCTGAATGAACATACGAAAGTTGAAAAAGAGTAAAACAGAATTACAAAATATTTTAATGGGGAAAGAATTAGTATAAATGTGTTAAAGGGAAGGAAAGAAAGAGGGTTGTATCTATGCTGACTTGTTATTTCGGACAACAATGGGCAGAATAGTTTTATCACAAGAAATATAAAAACAATTTATTAAATATGAAAGCATGAGAAGATTCTTTTATATTTTCTTCAGCTTCTTATTTTTGAAAACTATTCGTGACAAAATAAAAACATTTAGATTTTCTTTTTTAGGGTCTCTGATGGACCATTAGAAAATAACAATGGAATCATTTTATAGAAAATTAGATGTTTAATCGGACATGCAACTATTGCTATCTAGCATTCATTACATTTTAATATTCACAAATTGTTTAAAGAACAGATAAGAAAATTCACACTATTAATTGTAAATTTCAAAAAAGTGTATTTTACAATTATCTCTTTAAATTGTGCACACTGGTAATAGCTTTCTTTTAACTTAAAGAGTATATTATGGTACATCATTTATAATGTTCATAATGTTGAAATAAACCATTTTCGAGGAAAGTTAATTCATATTAATTCATTTTAAGTTAAAATATAAAGATATTTATATATATCTTTTGCATGAAGTGGCTGGATTTTGTAAGACGTAAATTGAATGCACTTAAGGAATTGAGTCTTTGTCACAAACTATGATTTCTAATCTCTATATCTTTGTAATCCAATGCCGTAGAGCTTAGATATAATTCAAACTATGAATTCTGTTATATGAAAAAAACTATGTTTGAAATATCAAAGGTTTACGGCATCAGATGGAAAAAATATATGTATTAGAAAATCAGAGTTTGTTACAAAGAATCAATTCCTTTGCCATTTAAAAAAGTAATAAATGACGGGAACGAAATTGCTCGGAACATGGCCCGAAGACAAAAAAGCTGAAGAGAAAAGATGTTGTCAATGGTCATGTCTGCTTGCCTTTTTGCACTCAATTCGGGAAAATGTGCTGACGGAGTTTCAAAAGTACCTACTTACCTACTGAAGGTAGCATGTGCAGCGTATAAAGAAGGGAGAGGGATATTGTTCCTTTTCCCTTCATCTCATTCTAATCTATAGCAAATCTTTTTTCTTTCCTTATTCGATGTTTGTTAAAAATATTTGCTTTAAGTATTTAAGATGTACGCACGATAAATAAGTATATATTAGAAATATTAGAATTATTAATAAATCATTTGTTTATGGCTTTCATTTTTAAACTGCTTGTTGTAAAAAAGTTTAAATTTAACGAAATTGAATTATTAAGCAAGTTTCTGCGTTTCTAGGAGTATTAACAGTGGTCAGTGAACCAATCTCAAGAATATTTTCTATGCTAAGATATTGGGGGAAAATTGTATTATATTATCTACAATTCTCCAAACTAGGAGGAAAAAATATATATGCATTTGCTACAAAGTTACCCAAGATGTATTTATTATATACGTGATTCGATCAAGAAATTAAAACTTTGAGCTTTAAAACAAAATTTCATGAAAACGTTAAAATTTTGTCAGATAAATCTAATTCTAATGTTTCAGTTCTGCTAATTACAAACATTTAATTCAGGTTCATTTAGATCAAATAGTTTAGGCATGGTTGCAAAATGGCTGTATAGTGTATAATGTATAATTCACAAATTCAAAATTTAACAAAAAAAACTTTAACAACTTAAATAGATCTAATTTAGACAGCTAAATATATTTAAAATAGTTGTTATTACTATGGGGATGATGTGTCCTATCTAAAGATCGTGGACACGGACATTTTACAGAGACAAACATGTAAAAAAGTCAAACTTAGATTATTAACTAGTAATCTTTAATAGTTTGTTGATCGTAAGTAGGATTTTCAGAGGGGCGAGAATTATCCTAGGGAGAAGAGGGGCGGGCGCCCCTCCCCCTTGGGTAATTTTAAGGTCAAAAATTGGTGAAAAAAAATGATTAAAATAACATGATAAAAAACTATAGGATTTCATTAAACATACATTTTCACATTTAACCCCCCACCCCCTTACCCAAGTTGCGACTTCCCCGACAAATCTCAATCCCCGCCGATTGTTTAATAGAACACAGTGTTGCGGTTCTAAATATATAGAGTAAAATCCGTGTGGGAAAACGGAAATTGTTCTGTCCGAATTTTTATAAAGTTTGGCTTTACCATGAAAGTCTGAATATATTTAAAAATATGACAGGGACTTAAGCAGATCAAATCTCGGCAAACTCTTGAATACCGATGAAGTTTTACAACAGATGAAAGAACGCTTTGAAATAAAAACTCAGCAAAGAGAAGAGATAAGGATTTGGAATTTCTATGCTATGAGAAGTTGAGAGGAGGAAAATTAAACCTCAACATTTAGAGATAATATCTAATTCTACCATTTAGAAAACAAGTGCTTTATAAACAATACCTTATCTTTAACCTTAAAAATATAAATATTACATATAAAATAATATAAAAATACAAATAGAATATATAATTTAATGTATTGAAAATATTTATAAAATGATAAACAAAAAGTTAATAATAATTGAAAACATCCCTTTTTTCTTAAAAAGTCTTTTTGTTGTAATTTGTGTAAAGTTTAAAGAATTGAAGTTAGGATATTTTTTTTTAGAAGACTTGAAAGGAGTTGAGTCTTTGCAACAAACTCGAATTTTCTAATCCCTATATCTGTACATCTGTTCGACCTGATGACGAAAACCTTAGACATTTCAAACTTAGATTATTTGATCTAAAAGAATTTATAGTTTGAAATATATAAGGTCTACGACATTGGATGGCAAAGATATTAGGATTAGAACATCAGAGTTTGTGGCAAAAAATCAATTCCTTTGAAGACGTATCTTGTAAGAACCAGAAAATTGTGAAATAGGATGTCGATATTCAAGTAACAATTAAGTGTATTTAATGTTGTTACAAATAAAATAGTTAAATGTTCATTTGACTATTTAGAATCAAAATTTGTGTCTAAAAGTCGTCTTTCTATTTAAGAATTTTCCGGTTCTTACAAATTTACTTTATTTTACATGTGCGTAAATTCATTTTTAATACAATAGCCATCTTATATAATCTACATAGTTTAGTGTTATATTATTACGTGGTGTGCTATCTTATTGAGAAGAAGTGCAGAGGTTAACTGTCCGAACCCTGGTTCTGCTCCGAGGATGAGTCCTGTAGAACGAATGTATCCTGTAGGACGGATCTATCTTTTGTCTTCAGTCTGAGACACAACTTAAATTTTACTCCTTTAAACCAAATTGTAATTAAAGATAATTTAATTTAACTTTGCTTCTTCCAATCATCACAAAAATCGGAAAAAATAAATTTGAAAATGATTTTATTTTGTCCGTTTTCCATCTTGCATATATATCGGTTTCGATAAATTTTTTAATGTATGTGTTTAATGTATTTCAAAAAAATTTATAAATATCACACCCGCATGAATAATGGGACAGTTTGAGAAATGCGGTATATTAGAAGTTGAAATTAGTTTCGCTGTTTTATACTCTCTCAGAGGAATATCCAACAGGGCATGTATAAACTACTAAGAACAATGTGTTTAAGAAAAACGGCGAAAATATTCAAATAAACAGAAGAGAAGAATATTAACCTTTAGATAAAGGATTGCTGTATTCTGAACATATCAACTTAAATAGAGATTTTACGTGCCGTGACGGAACAAAGTTTATCGAACTAGATCATATACTACATTTTTACGAATGTATATAATTCAGCTGTCGTGTCATGTTTCACACAAAATTTCTGGGAACCATAGTTTTGTCAAGTTTTCTGTTTTACAATAGCATATTGATTGATATTATTGATTATGATGCGAAATAAAGGAGACTCTAGAATTAAAAAAGAAATAAAGCCATGTCATAAATAATATATAGATAAAGACGGCAAAAAATGTCATGAATTTGAACAAGTTTTGAATTCTTACTTGAATTTTAGAACAACTTTCAAACATAACGTTTAAGTATACATCTTAGACACAAGTACAATTAAGCACTAATTAATAAAATCCCAGTGGTAAACGTAAGAATTAAAGGGTTTGAATTACTAGGAAAAAAATATATTTGTATGACAAAGATTAAAAGATTATGAGTAAATATTTATATTTGGCACCATTGCTAGGTTACAGAAACCATTCCCCGCAGTCCCTGTCATACACATCAAATTAATACATCCACGGAATACATTAACGTAAGTATGTACGTTACGCACTGCACTATAGATTAAAAAGTATTTTAAGTATTGAAATTGTTCGCGAAATCTTTAAACCTAGAAAACATTAATGTCGTTCTATCGAGTTCCCCAATCAAAATAATTGAGGCAAATTGGTCAAGGAGTTCATGAGCTATGATCGATCAGAAAAACAAGCAAACAAACAGAGAGACAAATGGAGAGATAAACAGACAATTGGTCTAATCTTTTGAAAACATCGACAAAATATGCGAGATTCTTTAAAAACCGGGTTTTAAAATAAACATTGAACAGAGAAATATGAGTATTTGGGCTCTTGGGAACATCTTTGATAGGCTAAGCTGTGATACTAAATTCGAATATTAGGATATTTAGTGTATTTTTAAATAGGTAAACAACCCCTTATATGAATAAACCATTTAAACTCACTGTTTCAAAAGGTTTTAAGAAGGTTAAAAAGGGGAAAAAAAATTTTGTTTAGTTGAATCACTGAATTTTGGTTTTTCTAATGTATTAACTCGTGAGAACCAGAAACCAGAACTGAGAACCGTCGCGATGTCACTAAATTAATTATAAAAAATGCGTTCTCTAATTTTTAAAAATACATTAGTTGCAGAAATTGTAAATAAGAAAAACTTAGCGACATTTAAAAAAAACTTCTCACTGTAACTTTTGTTCATCAAGATGTTGCTCAGTGTTCACTGTAGTGAAGGGAAAAGTTAAAAATTATGCTAATAAAAATGTTGCCGCAGATCTGTGAAACTAACTATAGCCATAATTATGTCCGTGCTGTATCAGTAAAGAAAAAAAATAAAGAAAGTTAACTGAAACTTTTATCTTTAAATGTATTTGGTAGGTGACAAAAAAAAACTTTCTCAGTTATTCAATCAGTTTTTTTGTAGAACTTATATCTTTGATCCTCCCCCCCCCCACAACAAACTTAAATTTTCGAATCCCTAAATCTTTCCAACCTGATGGAGTAAGCCTTTAACATTTCAAATTAAGATTATTTCATCTAACAGAATTTATAGTTTTAAATATCTGAGGTGTACGACATTGGGTTTCAAAAGCCCAATTCCTTTAAAAGTTTATTTAAAACTCGGTTAAGTATGTTGAAATGTCTTTTTTATCTGTTTTACTCTTCTTGCGCAATGCATTGGGGTTATCAGTTATCCTAAGCCTGCTTGTTTACAGATTTGATTAGTTGCTTTTTACTAAGCATGTTATAAATATTCAACATTCATTTCATTTGCTTCTACCATTTGAATTATTTTAGCACTGAGAATTATTTTAGTATAGCTTAGCTAATATTCAAGCTAGTTTTCCTAAACTAGAATTCTATCTGAAATCCTAGTTAGAATTGCTCTGATGTGGTCTAGTTTAAGAAGATTGGATAAATGGATTGGGGGCAGAACTGATTTTCTGAGACTTCTCGGCTAGGGAGAGAAAATTTATTCATCAACGTTTTCAATCAATTACACTTTAAATTAATTTTGGGGCATAACAATTTATTTGCAAAGATAAAATCAGTCACCAGCTCGGAAAACATAAAAAGAAATTAACTTTGTCTGCTGACAAGGCATTTTAGCATGTTTATTAAAATTTCCAGAGAATAATCAAGTTAAAAACTGATTGATTTGCTCATCAAGACATTTTTTTAGATATTTTGTGACCTTAAATTATTTCGGTTCAAATATTTAAAATGTTTTAACTATTAAAATATTTTTGTTGATTAACAATCAAATTTTGATTCGGCGGTTTAAAATACAATTCTCGCAGCATTATCAGGCCACCAGGTCTAGTTTACTTATCCCTGTATCTTTGCAACTTGATGGTTTAAACCTTTCACTACGACATAGGTATAGAGATTCGAA